AAGCTTTTGCACAACAAAGGAAACTATAAGCAAGGTGAAAAGACAGCCCTCAGATTGGGAGAAAATAATAGCAAATGAAGAAACAGACAAAGGATTAAACTCAAAAATATACAAGCAACTCCTCCAGCTCAATTCCAGAAAAATAAATAACCCAATCAAAAAATGGGCCAAAGAACTAAACAGACATTTCTCCAAAGAAGACATACAGATGGCTAACACACACATGAAAAGATGCTCAACATCACTCATTATCAGAGAAATGCAAATCAATACCACAATGAGGTACCATTACACACCAGTCAGGATGGCTGCTATCCAAAAGTCTACAAGCAATAAATGCTGGAGAGGGTGTGGAGAAAAGGGAACCCTCTTACACTTTGGTGGAAATGCAAACTAGTACAGCCACTATGGAGAACAGTGTGGAGATTTCTTAAAAAGCTGGAAATGGAACTGCCATATGACCCAGCAATCCCACTCCTGGGCATACACACCAAGGAAAGCAGATCTGAAAGAGACACATGTACCCCAGTGTTCATCGCAAGACTGTTTATAATAGCCAGGACATGGAAGCAACCTAGATGCCCATCAGCAGACAAATGGACAAGGAAGCTGTGGTACATATACACAATGGAATATTACTCAGCCATTAAAAAGAATTCATTTGAATCAGTTCTAATGAGATGGATGAAACTGGAGCCCATTATACAGAGCAAAGTAAGCCAGAAAGATAAAGACCAATACAGTATACTAACACATATATATGGAATTTAGAAAGATGGTAATGATAACCCTACATGCAAAACAGAAAAAGAGACACAGATGTACAGAACAGACCTTTGGACTCTGTGGGAGAAGGCGAGGGTGGGATGTTTCAAGAGAACAGCATCGAAACATGTATATTATCAAGGGTGAAACAGATCACCAGCCCAGGTTGGATGCATGAGACAAGTGCTTGGGGCTGGTACACTGGGAAGACCCAGAGGGATGGGGTGGGGAGGGAGGCGGGAGGGTGGATTGGGATGGGGAACACATGTAAATCCATGGCTGACTCACGTCAATGTATGACAAAAACCACTACAATATTGTAAAGTAATTAGCCTCCAACTAATAAAAATTTTAAAAAAAAGAAAGAAATGTTGCTCTTTTCAAATGTTCATTTTCTTGAGGAAAATATTGCTGTGTCTTCATTTCCATTATCAAGATTCAATTTGGCCCTTGCTAATAGCAAATTTGGAAAACTCAGCAGTGGCCACAGGACTGGAAAAGGTCAGTTTTCATTCCAATCCCTAAGAAAGGCAATCCCAAAGAATGCTCAAACTATGGCACAATGCACTCATCTCACACGCTAGTAAAGTAATGCTCAAATTCTCCAAGCCAGGCTTCAGCAATACGTGAACCAAGAACTTCCAGATGTTCAAGCTGGCTTTAGAAAAGGCAGAGGAACCAGAGATCAAATTGCCAACATCCGCTGGATCATAGAAAAAGCAAGAGAGTTCCAGAAAAACATCTATTTCTGCTTTATTGACTATGCCAAAGCCTTTGACTGTGTGGATCACAATAAACTGTGGAGAATTCTGAAAGAGATGGGAATACCAGAACACCTGACCTGCCTCTTGAGAAGCCTATATGCAGGTCAGGAAGCAACAGTTAGAACTGGACATGGAACAACAGACTGATTCCAAATCGGGAAAGGAGTACATCAAGGCTGTATATTGTCACCCTGCTTATTTAACTTATATGCAGAGTACATCATGAGAAACGCTGGGCTGGAAGAAGCACAAGCTGGAATTAAGATTGCCAGTAGAAATATCAATAACCTCAGATATGCAGATGACACCACCCTTATGGCAGAAACTGAAGGTGAACTAAAAAGCCTCTTGATGAAAGTGAAAGAGGAGAGTGAAAAACTTGGCTTAAAGCTTAACATTCAGAAAACTAAGATCGTGGCATCTGGTCCCATCACTTCATGGGAAATAGATGGGGAGACAGTGGAAACAGTGTCAGACTTTATTTTTTGGGACTCCAAAATCACTGCAGATGGTGTTTGCAGTCATGAAATAAAAAGACGCTTACTCCTTGGAAGGAAAGTTATGACCAACCTAGATGGCATATTAAAAAGCAGAGACATTACTTTGCCAACAAAGGTCAGTCTGGTCAAAGCTATGTTTTTTCCAGTAGTCATGTATGGATGTGAGAGTTGGACTGTGAAGAAAGCTGAGTGCCAAAAAATTGATGCTTTTGAACTGTGGTGTTGGAGAAGACTCTTGGGAGTCCCTTGGACTGCAAGGATATCCAACCAGTCCATCCTGAAGGAGATCAGTCCTGGGTGTTCATTGGAAGGACTGATGCTGAAGCTGAAACTCCAATACTTTGGCCACCTCATGCAAAGAGTTGACTCATTGGAAAAAGCCCGGATGCTGGGAAAGATTGAGGGCAGGAGGAGAAGGTGACAACAGAGGATGAGATGGTTGGGTGGCATCACCAACTCAATGGACATGGGTTTGGGTAAACTCTGGGAGTTGGTGATGGACAGGAAGGCCTGGCGTGCTGCGATTCATGGGGTCGCAAAGGGTTGGTTGGACACGACTGAGCGACTGAATTGAACTGAACTGAACTAAACATTAAACAGAAACATTCAGTTTATGTGCTTTGGGGAAGAAAATTACAGGATTTGGGGCTATGTTACATAGCCTGATGAAACTCTATCAAAATTACTCTTTGAATTTTCTCATGAAATTCACTTCACTGATAATTACATACATAATAAACAAATTTTTTAAAATAAGATTTCATTTTGTTAAATGACTTTATAATGTTAAGAACTGGAAAAGGTCCTCTAAGAATGGTTCAGAGCATGGCCACATGCCTGCATTAGGAGCAAGGCACTTCATCTCCCAGCTGCTGAGAGTATTGGTTGCTGATGGCTCACAGCTGAGTCCTCTTCTGCATCTCACTCTCTGCCAAAGCTTTGCCCAGGGGCATTCCACCTTTAAGGAATGGTCAAAAACAGGGTACAAAAACACGCCCCCTTGCCTGTATTCAGGTTGACACTGAACAGAACCAGATCCAGAGCCCCTGTGGGGGTTGCCTGTGGCCTCTACTGCAATGTGTTCACAAAGCAACTTCTCCCTCTGCTTCCATCTTCCCAGTACCGATGTTGTTCCCAGTAATTATGCACATATATCTCCCATTGGAGTCTCTTTGCCAGGTAACTTGATTTAAGACAGTTGGCATTCTGGTGCACTGGGAAGACCCAGAGGGATCGGATGGAGAAGGAGGTGGGAGGGGGGACCGGGATGGGGAATACATGTAAATCCATGGCTAATTCATTTCAATGTATGACAAAAACCACTGCAATGTTGTAAAGTAATTAGCCTCCAACTAATAAAAATAAATGGAAAAAAAAATTTTTTAATGGAATGAAAAAAAAAAGACAGTTGGCATTGAAAATGGTCCCAGAAATAAGACACGAAAAACAAGTTTTGGAATTCCCTGTTGGCCCAGTGTTTAGGAGTCCACCTGACAGAGCAGGGGACACAGGTTCAAAACCACATGCCACGGAGTAGCTAATGCCACACGCCACAAATACTTTAGAGACCAAGTACTGCAACTCCTGCACACCCCTCCTGCAACTAATGAAGCCTGGCACTCTCTAGAGCTCTGCAACAAGAGAAGCCACCGCAATGAGAAACCCTCGCACCACGACGCAGTGTAGCGCCTACTTGCAGCAACTAGAGAAAGCCCCTGTGCTGTGTGTTCAGCTGCTTAGTCTTGTCCCACTCTGCAACCCCAGGGACATCACCCCATCAGGCACCCCTGTCCATGGGATTTTCCAGGCAAGAAAGCTAGAGTGGAATGCCATTTCCTTTTCCAGGGAATCTTCCTGACCCAGGGGTCGAACTGGCGTCTCCTGCATTGGCAGGCGGGCTCTTTACCACTAAACCACCTGGGAATCCCCAGAGAAACACCATACACAGCCACAAAGACTCAATGCAGCCAAAAATAATAAATAAATAAAAACTTTAAAAAATAAGTGGCAGTTTTGGAGTTGGATCCCTGCCAGCCAGCTGCCAGTGAAAGGCCCATTCCTAGCCCAGAGTGGACTGATAGCACCTGATTACTGCTGTGGCAATGTGATTACTAATTTGAATCTCATATGGCTCAGTGGTAAAGAATCTGCCTGCAATGCAGCAAAAGCGAGTTCCATCCCTGGGTCTGGAGGATCCCCTGGAGGAAGAAATGGCAACCCACTCCAATCCCATGGACAGAGGAGATTGGCGGGCTACAGTTCATGGGGGTTGTAACGAGTCTGACACGACTGAAAACTCACATCCCAAAGCTGTGCCCCACTTGGTTACCTGTAATAGAAGTAAATGAATTAAACAGAGCCTTTTGCATTTAATTCATTGGATTATATCTGGTTATAGCTTAGACAAGGCTGCCACCTCCTGGCGAAGCTAATAAATACTGGTGACTGAGGTGTTCCCATCCTTTAGGGAATCGGTATTAGGAAACTGATTGCCTCTCCAAGACACCTCAGTATCTCTCCATGAGGTTAAACCAATTCCTAACCTCTCACAACCTCTGTGAAAAAATTTTTGCATAGGACCAAGATTTCAAAGAATTTGTGCATCACGTCTTTTCTTAGGTGACAAAAAAAAACGGTAATTTAAGTTTAAACAAAAAATAACATTTTAGAACTCTCAGGTCTTAATTCTTAATCCTCACATCGGTTCTCTGAAGTAGGAACTATTATAAACACATCCACGTTACCAAGGAGGAAAATAAGGTCTCGGAACTTACGGTTACCCGACTTTCAGCGAAAACCCCACCCAGGAAGTCAGAACTCAGAGGCTGAGGAGATCAATAAGTAACCGCTCCGCCTCACTTGGGCATGCGCAGAAAAACACTGACAAATTCTATAGGAATTTCAAGAGGCGGGAACTCAGGGGTGTGGTGGGCCTCTAAGGTCCCAGCATTCCCTTCGGGCCGCCTCCAAGATGGCGGCGCCCATATTGCGGTACATTTTCCGGAGCCAGTGGCTTGGTACCCAAGGCCTGTCAGGAGTCTTGTCCTTGGGGCTGCGTGAGGCCCACTCGGCCGCTCAGGGGTTGCTGGCGGTGCAGAAGGCTCGGGGTCTGTTCAAGGAATTCTTCCCCGAGAGGGGTACAAAGACAGAGCTCCCAGAGCTCTTCGACCGCGGCACCGGGGGGAAATTTCCCCAGACCATCTACTGCGGCTTCGACCCCACGGCCGACTCGCTTCATGTCGGGCATCTGCTGGCGCTTTTGGGCCTTTTTCATTTCCAGAGAGCGGGCCACAACGTGATCGCGCTGGTGGGAGGCGCCACGGCGCGCCTGGGAGACCCAAGCGGTCGTACCAAGGAGCGCGAGGCGCTGGATGCGGAGCGCGTGCAAAGCAACGCGCGTGCCCTGAGCCAAGGGCTAAAGGCCCTGGCGACTAATCACCAGCAGCTCTTTGCAAATGAGCGGACCTGGGGCAGCTTCACCGTGCTGGACAATTCGGCGTGGTACCAGAAGCAGGACCTGGTGGACTTCCTAGCGGCAGTGGGTGGCCACTTCCGCATGGGAACGCTGCTGAGCAGGCTGAGTGTGCAGACTCGGCTCAGGAGCCCCGAAGGCATGAGTTTAGCCGAGTTCTTATACCAGGTGCTCCAGGCCTATGATTTCTACTACCTGTTCCAGCATTACGGATGCCGGGTCCAGCTGGGTGGATCAGATCAGCTGGGCAATATCATGTCTGGATACGAGTTCATCCACAAGTAAGCGCCTAAAGGCCGGGAGAAATCTTGGGTCAAATAAGTTACACACAAATAGCTTGTAATGCACTGTCAGTATTGTGGAGTGACGCCCTTTTTTTCAGCCCTTATTGGTTTTATTTCCCCTAAGAGTCTAACGGAGTTAATTTTATATCACTGGCTAATGAGAACTAAAGTGCTGGGTTAATGATATTAGGTATGGGATATATTCTAGAGCTCTGAAGGAAATAGACCCCACTAGCCTGGATTCAGATTGTATCTGTTTGCTGCTTCTAAGAAGCTTTTTCTGTGTTTCTCATTTGAAAGACATTATAACCTGACCGTGACTGGGCCACCTTGAGTAGTTTCTGCTTTTGCTCTGCACCTTCCTTGAAGCTAAGTGTTAGTCATTAGTTGGCATCTCGAAAAAAAATTTTTCAAAACCAAATATTTGCGAATAATGTATCTTTAATGGCATTTCCTGAGGGAGATGAAATACAGGGCCAACTCATATGCTACTCATTTTAAAAATCCTTTAAAATACCTCTTTTAGTGTCTCTACCTGACCACACCTTTACCTAGTTTTCTCTCCTCTTCCCACCCAACCTTTAAAAATTTCTAGGCCCCAGTTATGTGGCATTTCCCCTTGGCTTGCCCAGAGTCACTGGTTCAATTGCAGTTCAGAATGACGAATGTCAAAATAGGGTGCTGTGAAAGCAGAAAGATGGACAAGAATCCTGGTTTAGAAGGTTAAGGAAGGTTTCTTAGAGCAAAAAACCACACTGAAGTCAGAATGATTAGCAGAATCTACCACCACTTGAGCTTGAAGCACATAATAAAGTTCTTCTTTATGCATAGGTTGACTGGAGAAGATGTGTTTGGAATCTCTGTTCCTCTAATTACAAATACAACTGGAGCGAAACTAGGCAAGTCTGCTGGCAATGCTGTTTGGCTAAACAGAGATAAGACATCTCCATTTGAATTGTATCAGTTTTTTCTCAGGCAACAAGATGATTTGGTAGAAAGGTGAGTTCTTAATAATTGTGTGCTGAGAAAAATTAAGTTTATTAAGCTCATGATACAATTTTAGTCATTGACTCTCTCTGTACCTTTCATCCCTTCATAGTTTTTTGGGTTTTTTGTTTACTTTAATGTATATTCTATTTAAGGCAGTACATCATGTAACATTGTCATTAAACACTGTTGGTTAAAGCAGAAAACCACTGTGGGTACTAAAAAAGTTAGAGCCAAGTTTATGATCTACATCTAGCAGGTACTTGGGACATAATTGCTTGCATATTCTAGTTTTTTACTCCTTTCATCGTAAACTTTTATTTTACCATTGTCTCTAAAGTTCCTTTTCTTTAACATAAAAGAAGGTCCTTTTTTTAAGTGATTTTTCTCATTGTTTCATAATATGTCAAACTCTTGGAAGAATATAAATTAATGAGAAATACACCTGCAACAAAGAAAAAGTGAATTTTTCCCAAAAAATGCCATTTGACATAATGATCATCAAAAATAATTTAGGAATAATTCTTAAATTTTTTAAATATCTAAGACTTTACTACAGAACATGAAAAAACACTATTGAGTAGGGGAAAAAACTTCTCTCAGAGGGTATCTTGAGGATTGCCAGAGGGGACCAACAGTGGGATTTGGGTGAGTGTATAATAGGATGTGGTATATAGGATGTGAAGGCCCAAGAGGTGAGAATTAAGCAAGATGAGGGTCTGGAACAAGAGTTCAGTCCATTTTGGGAACCAGTTGCCTGAGAGTAATTTCAGGAGTATCTCTTTAAGGAGGTTGATGGTGCTCAGTGAGGCCAGATGCCTGGGGAAATTTCAAAAAATATTATGTTGGAAAGCCCATTGTTTAGTCTCTGGAGGGGTAAAGTGGGTCAGAGTCAGTAATGCCTGGCAATCCAAAGGGAACAAAAATAAATTTACTGAGGCCAGAGATTTGCGTCATCCAGAGAAGTCCCATGAATGAAGGTGTATCTGGAGGCCCCAGGAGAAAAGGGCAGTGGCCGGTAAAATTAACTGCCAATGGGAACATGGTTGGTCTCCCTAGGGAATATGTCCCCATCTGAATATCCTCCATTGGTTTGGGAACAGAGAATACCATCATCTGTTACAACTTTGACTGCTGCTAAGAAGATGATGGTGAGTCCGCTCACTAGAGCCCAAGCTGTTAAGGCCTGAATTCCTTAGTGACCCAAGGAGCCCAGTTTTTTGAGCTGGTAGGGTGTGTGCTGGGCAGAGTGTGGCGGGCTTAGTACTGCAGCAGTCTGCAGTACTGTTGAAATGGCTTCTGGCATAGAGCAGGTGGTGCTAGTATTCTTGCCAGGAGACTTCCTTAGACAGAGGAGAGTGGTGGGCTACAGTCCATAGGGTCACAAAGCGTCAGACACGACTGAAACAACTTAGCACGCACACACAGAGCAGGTAGTCTGAAGAGAAACGTGAGGAGCAATGATAGGAACGAGGGACTCCTTCCAGGTTTGGGCCAAACAGGCTTGTGTTATATGAGAAAATTGTCCCTTAGCCATTGGCCAGACCAAAACGAGGTCATTAGCAGTAGCCCAGGGGTCTATGAAAATGTAGGTCTGCCAACATTCTCTTTTTTTGGCTTCCTAAGGGCTTCCCTGGTGGTTCAGCTGGTAAAGAATCTGCCTGCAATGCAGGAGACCTGGGTTCGATTCCTGGGTTGGGAAGATCCCCTGGAAATGGGAACAGCTCGTCTTCTGGCTTGGAGAATTCCATGGACTACATAGTCCATGGGGTTGCAAAGAGTTGGACATGACTGAGCGACTTACACTTTCAAGGGCTAAGTGAACAGCTACAAGTTCTGCCAGTTGGGCTGAGTCAGGACTGCCTTCTTCAGCTAGAGAGGCCCCTGAGACCAGGGGGAATGCTGCAGTCCTCCAGCTAGCTGCAGTGCATACATACAATGGTGGTGCTGTCATTGGTTAAGAATATGGACTCCCTGTCCATCTCAGACAGTTGGTCCCAAGGGACTCCCCGAGCAGCAGGAGCACCACTACCAACTCCAGAAGGCTCTTAGGCAAGGAGCTGATCATGAGGGAAGTGCCATTCTCCTGTAATTTTTAAAAGCTTTGATATCCAGGTTAGCCCTCTCCTGAAGGTACCATTTTCATTTTACCAAGGACGCGTCTCTAACCCAGGGCATTAGGTGGTTTATTGGTTGGGGGCTGTTTAGGGCCTCAGTTTCTAAAAGAACCCAGCAGAATCCTTTGGGGTTAGCCACTTAATCCAAAATCCATAGGAAAGTAACTAGACTTATATTTGGTCCAGAGACTCCAAGGAGACATAATCAGATATGGTCAAGTACTGACTTGGAATGTGGAGCCAGATGGGACTAAAGGTAGGGCTCATCGGCCTGCCTGCTGGGCAGCTTCCCAAATGTATTGTTGGGCTTGCCCCAGTGAAAGGTGGTGCATTGCATGTGATTGTGGCAAAGAATTGGTAAAAGGTGAGGGATGTGTTGCCTCCAGAACCTGAAAAGGCCTAGTACACATTGTACCTGAGTGTACTGGCGGTTTAATGATGAGTAATTTCCTCCATGTCTAGGAACCCTGTCAGTGCTCTCCAGTGCCCTTTGAATGGTTTTGACAGACCCAGTAAAGTGCACAAGCATTACCCCATGATTAGACAGAGCACCTTGTAAAAAGAATTCTCTGGACTTAGGGTCAAAGAGACTCAGGGTTAGAATGAAGAGGGGTCATTGAAATCACTCTGGTCATAGAAATGATAAACCAATTGGACCATGCCAGTTTTGCACTGCAGGAGACAAGCCTGTAGCAATAATCACTGTGGTGGAAGGATGGGCCCAGAGTAGTCAGGCAGTAAAATATCCAGATGAGGCAAGGGAGGCCCCTGGTACCAATACTGGTGGCTCTAGGATCATCTGCCTTCCTTTCTTCTCCCTCTTCATCCTCACTGGAGGCCTATAACCCAGTCAGCCTTTCCATTGGTGGCAAGGGTATCTCATGAGGCATGTTGCTTTGTTCTATCCCATTCAGGGGAAATCTGAGGGGACTCAATATCTTTGGTTTCTTAGAGGAAGGAAACATGTATCCTGGACAGATAGATCTCTGAGAAGGTTGTAGATTTTAGGATCTTTAGATACCAGCCAGCTGATGCATTTCAGCAGCAATGAGTAACAATTTAGGTTCCAAAAACCTGCAGTTGCCAATCAACTCCTTCTTTATCTTCCTTATGCACAGAATTTCAGTTAAAGTGTAATGTCGGATCTGTGTTTACTTCCTGATTCTCATTACCTTAATCTTACATGTTGTCACCAGAAAGTTTGTGGAAGACATCCCCATGAGCCTTCTTCATAGGTGGCTACCTCCCTTTTCAGGGTGTCCCAGTCATCCTCCCCAGGACTGGGCTCTCCCTCCAATGGCAGGTTACCACAGGGTCTTTGGGAAAGCCCTCGATGTCTGGAGCATAACACTAGATAGAGCCTTGGCATACTGGTATACAGCAGCAGTAAGCAACGCCCAGGAAGCCTCCATAGGGGTTCTGATTTATCGAGGAGCTGCTGTACCTCCTCAGGGGTCTTACAAGGCATTGGCACAAGATGTTCTGACCATTTATGTTTGTCCATTGTTCAACAACATCACACCAGATTCTGAACCCTTGGTATCCCATCGGGTTTGGGGGACAGAGGAACAGCACGCCTCAGCTGTATTTCCTTCTTTGCTGTTTTCCTGTTGCAGGGTTGTTTCATTCATCCAGGTTAGGAAGTGTAGTCCCAGTATGACTCACTCAGGGGGCAGGTCTCTTTCCTCCTGACGTATGTGAGTATCCTTTCCTTTGCCTTGCACTCAGAGCCTCAGGTCGGGCAGTGATAATAGCCTTGGGATCCATTCCACCCTCCTTAGCTCTCCTTACCCTGAGATGTAAAGGACCTTCATGTACATTAGGAGTCAATCAAGGCTTTTATAATTAGTGGTCTGATCATCTCATTAGAGGACATGACTTTGATTGTTGATCACAATACTGCGGATATTGTTGAATTGTGGCAGCAGTGACATTTTGGGATGAGTACTGAGGTAACATGAGGCAATATGCAGAAGACGTAATAGCATTATGGACCTCCAGCATACATTGCTACCCTTGAAAACGTGTTATCTATCTAGGTTATCCAGTTAGTAAACTAGTCAAAGCTAAAGGGTAGTCGTGCAGTCCTGCCAACTATGCCTTTGCCAGTTATGTGGGCCTCAACCTGTTGGTAGTGTTACCATCAGCTAGAAATGCCTGGTGGCAGGGGAGGGGGAGGCGGCCCTCACCTGGGCCCATACTACTTGTGGGAGCCCCCACAGACATTTCCTTGACCAGTGCCAAACTTGTGACTAGATTAGACTTGTCCTTATTATGACTATGAGACATGCCTCAGCAACAATCATCAGGGAACCTTAAGAAGTAAAATGTATTACTTAGTTTCTGAAGGGCACAGGCACACAGTGAGTCAAGGATAGAAAGGGAGGGAGGACCCACCCAGGGCTCTGCCTTTATTGGGTGCCTAGGATTCCGCAGGTTCACTCTTCACTGGCTAATTTAAAACAGGTAAAACTAAGGAGTGGGAAGGCTGGAGAGGGGTCATTCAGGCAGTCAGTTATCTCAGTCACCCAGGGTTTTCTAAAAGCGGATTTTCATCGGTGGTGGTAGCCTGGTTCCTTACCTAGTTGGTGGGTGAACTCTGGGAGTTGGTGATGGACAGGGAGGCCTGGCATGCTGTGGTTTATGGGGTTGCAAAGAGCTGGACATGACTGAGACTGAACTGAACTGATGACATACAATTGGCAGTTGTTTATTTGAGATCAGTGTGTTTGAAATGGATACTCTGGCATTAAGCAGTCAGAAGCTTAATGTCAAGCACTACATTATACATATAGAACCACTTGGAAAAATATGTGGCTGTACCAGCTCAGTAGAATGCATTTATGACTTGTGTTAATACCAGCAGTCCCTCCCCTGGGCACATCCCTGACAGATTAGTGCACCAAGAGAAATACATGGGAATAGTCATAGCAGCACCATTAACTACTGTCCAGGAGTAGGAACAACACAAAACATCCACACCAAAATACATACATCGTGAACTATCTTTAATGTGGAATGCTGTATTCAGCAGCTGCACACAAAGCAGCATGGGTGCATTGCCAACATCATGATGTGCCAGTGAGTGAAGTCGCTCAGCCGTGTCCGACTCTGCGACCCCATGGGCTGTAGCCCACCAGGCTCCTCCATCCATGGGATTTTCCCGGCAAGAGTACTGGAGTGGGTTGCCATTTCTTTCTCCAGAGGATCTTCCTGACCCAGGGATCAAACCCAGGTCTCCCACGTTGTAGGCAAACACTTTACCATCTCAGCCACCAAGGAAATCTGATGTGCCAGAGTAGTCAAAAAAATATATGTTCTGTATGATTGCTTATATAAAGTCTAAAAAGAGGCAAAACTAAGTGACGCTGTTTAGGGAGGCATACTGAGATGGTAAAAATATAAACAAGGTAGTGACTACCATCAAAGCTGGGAGAGTGGTTACCTTGAAGGGTGAGGGGACATGATACAATCATGCTTCCTTGGGTAGGAGCACTGTTGTGTATCTGTTATTGTTGTTCAGTTGCAAAGTCATGTCTGACTCTGCAGCCCTGTGAATGTAGCACGCCAGGCTTTCCTGTCCTTCACTATCTCCTGGAGTTTGCTCAGACTTATGTCCATTGAGTCAGTGATGCCATCCAACCATCTCATCTTCTGTTGCCTCCTTCTCCTGCCCTCAATCTTTCCCAGCATCAAGGTCTTTTCCAATGAGTTTGCTCTTTACATCAGGTATTGGAGCTTCAGCATCAGTCCTTCCAATGAATATTCAGGGTTTTCCTTTAGGATTGACTGGTTTGATCTCCTTTCTGTCCAAGGGACTCTCAAGAGTCTTCTCCAGCACCACAGTTTCAAAGTATCAATTCTTCTGTGCTTTACCTTCTTTATGGTCCAACTCTCAATATCCGTACATGACTACTGGAAAAAACCACAGCTTTGACTATACAGATGTTTGTGGGCAAGTGATGTCTTTGCTTTTTAATATGCTATCTAGGTTTAATACACTGTCATAGCTTTTCTTCCAAGGAGCAAGTGTCTTTTTTAAAAAAATTTTCATGGCTGCAGTCACCATCTGCAGCCCAAGAAAATAGTTTGTCTTTTTTAAATTTCATGGCTGCAGTCACCATCTGCAGTCACCATCTGCAGCCCAAGAAAATAGTTTGTCACTGTTTCCATTGTTTCCGCATCTATCTGCCATGAAGTGATGGGACTGGATGCCATGATCTTCATTTTTTGAAAACTGAGTTTTAAGCCAGCTTTTCCACTCTCCTTTTTCACCCTCATCAAGAAGCTCTTTAGTTCCTCTTCACTTTCTGCCATTAGGGTGGTATCATCTGCATATCTGAGGTTGTTGACATTTCTCCCAGCAGTCTTGATTCCAGCTTGTGAATCATCCAGCTGAGCATTTTTGATGATGTCTCTGGAGCAAGAAGTATATATATGATGGGGATGGGGTCATCTGTGTCTAGACTATTACTTTTAAAAAGGAAGTATCTGAAACAAAGATGGCAAAAGTAAATCTTCAATCGGGGTGATGTTGTTTTATTGTCATATTTTTGGTACATTTCTGCATGTTATATTCCATAATCTAAAATAGAGGGGGGGAGACAAAAACTAGTTGTGTTACATAACTCTAACAGGCTTTTTTTTTTTTCCACCCCAAAGATACCTGAAGCTCTTCACTTTTCTGCCTCTTCCAGAGATTGACCACATCATGCAGCTGCATGTCACAGAGCCAGAAAAGCGGGGTCCTCAGAAGCGACTTGCTGCGGAAGTAACAAAGCTTGTTCATGGACAAGAAGGGCTGGCCTCTGCTAAAAGGTGACCTTGTAGAATAATGATCACTTGATTAATTAGTTAAAGAGACTGCAGAACATTTGGAGCCAGTGTTTTAGAGTTACTTTTTACCACTAACAAGGACTGTCAGTGTTAACTGGCTTAAAATACTAGACTTCACTTACTAGGAAAAAAGATTGTCCTGAATTAAGCTTATAAATTATACAAGATAAATGTTGCTGTTTGAAAAACTTCCCATCTGGAATATAATGGGTACTTCATAATTGGTTATTGGGTAGTAGAACACGTATCTGTATAAGCTGTCAACGTGATGTGGTTCTCAAAACATGTTTTCCAGGTGTACACAAGCCCTTTATCACAGCAGCATAGATGCGCTGGAAGTCATGTCTGATCAAGAGTTAAAAGAACTGTTTAAAGAGGCTTCATTTTCTGAATTAGTTCTTGACCCTGGAACAAGCGTCCTAGATACATGCCGCAAAGCAAATGCCATTCCAGATGGTCCCCGAGGGTAAGGTTATTTAACTTTTAGGTTTACAGTTATATTTCATAGCATGTGTTTCCAGAGATGGTGTTTTCCTGATAATGGCATCTCATTCCTTATAGATGTTAGGTTAGTCTGAGAATAAAGTGAAAACTGAGAGTACTTATTGCTGAAAATAACTTAAATTTTCTATACAGTGTTACTGTACTCTCTTATTAAGTCTAACCTGGTAAGTTTTCTCCAGCATTAGAGAATTGGTTTAAGGGACCACAGTTGTATAAATAGGCTGGGATCAGTTGGCTCAGGGATAGTCAGTTTGAGAAGATCACAAGATCAGAGGCCCTAAGTATACAGATTCACACAGCCCCTCTCATGCTCAGTCTGTATCATCTTTATTTGAGGGGCATAGTGGGGTTGCTCAGCCTGTTGTAAAATTTTAGTTGAATTTTTTCCATCTGTTCCTTTAGAAGAACTAAAGGGGAGGCAGAATCTAGCAAACATGAAGATAACAACTCAGTGCTAGATGGTTTCAATTAGCCTTTGAAATTTAAATGAAACAATGATATATGTGTATTGTTGGGAGTGGTCAACAATGATTAGATTTATCTAGTTACTAAACATTTCTATTTTTAGGTATCGGATGATTACAGAAGGTGGAGTCAGTATAAATCATAAACAAGTAACAAATCCTGAGAGTGTTTTAGTTGTTGGACAACATATTCTTAAAAATGGACTTTCATTACTTAAAATAGGAAAAAGGAACTTCTACATTATAAAATGGCTTCAGCTATGATGAAAAATCCTTCTGGTGTTCAAACATCATCATTCATTATCAAGATATACAAACTTATATCTTCACTTATGCAACTCAAAACAAAGAATGGAGTATGTTCTAGGCCTCTGTGAGTAATTTCATTGTTCATACAGGTTGGTTAAGTTTGTGGAATATTTTATTTTCTGATCCTTAAATATTAAACACTAACACAGAAAAGCATGATTTCTAGGTTTAATCTCTTTTAATAATTATGCTAAGTTTCCTATCCTGTCCTTGCTCTTGTATCAAGTAAATATATCACTGGATTTTTGTTGTTGTTCGGGAAGCAAATTCTATAAAAAAGGAGAAAAGTTAGAGGAAGCCATAGACAGCATTAGAAATTACAGTAGAAATAGTTTTTTTTTGAAGAAAATTCAGTACGTGACTTTTCAGAAAGCTTATAATTCAGTGTTCCAGTCTCCTGTGTTTCCATGAAATTAAATTTACTCATTAGCTTTATTTTAACTCAGTAAAAAAGGTAGTGATGTCTTATATCAACTTTTGAATTAGTCTTAAGTTTCAACTTCTATCCCCAGCAGATTGCAGCTTGAGATGAACCAAAAAGTTAAGTAACCAACAAGATAAAATAGAGGCAAAATATATACACGGAGATATCCAAACATATGAGAATATCAAAAGATATTCCAGGAAGGGAAGTTTTCAGGTCAGATTTAAAGGATCTGGAATCAAGATTCAGTCAAATTAAGCTCTACGTTCTTTAGGCAAGTTGATTCTCCAGAACCGTTTGCAGCATCTAAAAAATCAGATCATTGATTTTTCTTGATTTCCTTAATTTCACTTGATCACTTGAGGATCAAGTAAAACACACACATACATACAAAATAGTTAACAATCAGATTTGTTCTAGAAAATCTTACAGGCAGCAAAGCATGGCTTTAGAGTTCAAATTCTAGCTATTTACTACCTGGATTATTTGGAGCAAGTCATTTTCATATGCAAAAAAATGGAAATGTATTATAATAAAACCTTGGATTTTATAAAAATCTAAAAAGAAAAAAAGTCATTAAACTTTTATATAGTATAAACTATATTGCTATGTTCCAAAGTAGATTTTCATGTACTCTTCTGGGAGTACAGTTAGGAAGAATTCACTTATTGACAAGCTTTTTAATGTCACTTCATACCAGCAACTTTATTTACAAAGTGAGAACATACAGGTATCCATTGTAAGTCAGAGATCATCTCTACATTTCAGAACTTCACTCAGTTTAAGGGCCAACAAAAGGAGGCTTCCTCTTTCTGTACCTGTCTTGCCTGTTTTTCTTTGTACATGGTGTTTAGTACTAACATGTGCATTACCATAGCAGGTTATGTTTTCAATTTGAAGTTTGCTGGAGAAAGGTGCATTTTAAGGTTCTGTCCCCCCTTTACAAATTGAAAAAGTTGGACTAGAATGGTAATCATCTGATCTATCTCAAATACATGAATCATAGATGGCTATAATTTCAAAACTGATGCTTAATAATGGCAGAGTGATTTTAAAGTATGCTAATAAACATTTTGGAAGCATGTGTTCTATGAAGACGATACTGCTAACAGATTCTTAGTCCTGTATCACCAGACTGAATCTGTTATGTTTGAGATCAGTTGCTGATCCTGTTGTTTCTTGGTACAGTATCATTAGCTAAAGGTGACACACATTCATATGTTCCTGCCAGTATTTCTTCATAAATGTCATAACATAAAAATAAATTTAATATCTGCAATATAGAATTCATCTTAAAATTCATCATGTAATTCATATCAAGAATAATCTGGGGAATTTTGGTAAAATGTGTTCATGTTCTAAACCTCACTCCCAGCCCTCTGAGAGCATTTAGGAGTATGTGTGTATCAGGATGTTTTTCTGTGAATAATAAAGCCCCACCATTATTTTTGTACCTTTATTCTAATCTACTTTGTTGGTGTGAAGCAAAAGTAATAACTATTACCAACTAATACTTAAAGAAAGAAGATACACTTAAAATCAGTACAGTATTTGGTTCTAAGACTCTCTTCCAAGTGAATCTTGAAGTGTGGTCTGTGGGCTCCAATTTATAGATGGATTCCTGGATTACTACTATTATATTTGAAAGCCAAGGAGAATTTACTAGTTCTTCTAAAAACTAAAAGGAAATGGTCATGACCAAGTCTTACCAGATAATCAAGGCTAGATGGTTGGTTCTTAATGCAGTAAAACATAATTCATGCTTCCAAGTTTAAGTAAGATCAAAGGTATTTTAATTTTTAATGCACCAGGGGAAAGTGGACCCAGAAGTGGAAGGACGGCAGCTACACATTATGCACATCACATCACTGTCAGTGTTACAGATCCTCTCGTGTGTTCAGCTTTCTTACAGACACATCAAAGGTTGCAGAGAAGCTCAATAAAACTAAATCAAAAGATAATTGGAACAGTGACTACGTGAGTAACTTGTTAACCCATCTCTTTCAAAGCCAGGTCGGTTTATATAGTGCATGCATCATAGTCGTATGAAATGGCGTCTTGGTGCATTCTTCTCGAAGGGCTATGGCAGCAGCTTTAAGACTACTAGCATATCACACAGGTCATTTATTCACAGACAAACTGCTGTACAGCTAGGACTATTAACGGTTCCTTTTAAGTTCAAATGAAACTGTCACAAGACAGACTTGATGTATTTTGTATATACTAGGAAATTTTAGAAATAGCCATTTATTATTTGGATTAAATGTGTGATTTGCTCTGGAATACAGAGTACAATTTTCAGTTTATAGCCAGTCTTCACATGAGCAGATTCATATCACTGCAAGACACAGGAGTTCATAAATAAAATTCTACTCAAGTAGGCAGTACTAACAAGTCAACAAAATCTCAGGATTACATAGTTCTCTTCACCAAAGATGAGTCTCTCGGATTTCAGCAATAATTTGACTGGCTCCTTGTAATGCCTGCATTAAAGAAGATGATAAAAATTATAAATGTTTAAATTATAATACCAAAGAATCTGAATTAATATGGGATAATCTCTCCACTTTATATGTGGTTGATTCATATCTTTGCTGAAATTTGAATTGAATCAAGTGCCAACAGAGTAATATTTAGCCATTATATGAAGACTATATATATATTTTTAATAATATTTTAAATATTATTTAAAGCATTTTAAATAATAAATATTTATACCTACAAACCAAATAAGTTGGGTTGTAATTTTAAATAATTTTATTTTAAATAATAAATGTTTACACCTACAACCCAAATAAGAAAATTTTTTAAAAATTCAGTTTACCTTTAGCATATCAGCTGCTTCTTTCCTACGTTGTGCCATGTCCTCAGATTCAGTCAGAAGGTCATCCAATAGGGATGATTTATACAGCTGTCCTACTAACTCACTCTGAAGAGTATCTTTCACATGATTAACCAAAAAATGCATTACTGCCTTTGGCACACTGCAAAACAATCAAATAATCCATTTCTTTGAGAATAAAAACCTAAATTTTTAAAAATACATATATTTCAAAACGATTAAGAAATTACCCAGGAGTATTCTAGTCTGATTTATATACATAATACTAACCTGTCTTGAATATTCTTTCTGACAATAAGAAAATATGATTTGATGAGTCGTTCAATAACTTCACAATCTCGCTGTTCACGGGCAGATAGTTTTCGTGCAACAGGAACTGGCTAAATTGGGTGAAGCGGAGAACAAATTTACTGTTGTGCCATTTTGAAATGACAACACATATCAATACTTTTGAGACACCAGTTCCTTCTGTCTTTTAAAATGCTTTCTTTGTAATTTGGTTCTTTGTCCTCAACCAAATTCTACAGCTTACCACATCCAGCAAATTCACAGCGTGGCCTTTTTGTGGACTGGCTGGCATAATTGGAATTGGTTTTGATTTTTCCTCAGCTAGTAACTCCTCAGCTTTTGAAGTTTTCAGCATTCCTCTCCAGTTGCCTGTTGTTGGTTCTTGAACAGCATCTCCAACCCCACCACCTCCAGATGCAACCTGAAAAAAACGTGTTCCAAGACCTGTACCAACCATATCAAACTGGCATTATCTAAACAAAGTTAATTTTTTTTTGATAGGAGTCAAAGAGAATACCCATCTAGTACTCATCTGGAGTTTTAATCTATTCAGAGAGATAGCAGGGTCAGAAAGAGATGGTGACTGGCATGTACAACTGGAACCCTGAGCTGTCTAAATAAGAGGTCCTGTTCTAAATTGCTGGCAAGGCCTTGGCCAGGATCTTAAATTCCTTTTTTATTACTTGCTAACTTTTCAAAGTTTTTCCTCCTCTCCAACCTCTAACACTAGAGACTGTGGAGAAAATATGAGCTACCCTTTAAAACAAGACTGGCCATTAAAAGCACAAGGAAAGCCAAAACTGCTATTCACATTATTTCTTCAAAGTAACTTTAAACACTGTTGAACTGTGATCTCTCTGAAAGTTCAGTGAACTCATGTCTCCAAAAGTTAAGACTTTATATATTTCTCAAGTCAGTTTATGTTACTTATAGTCACAGGATAAAAGTAGGAATCCTTTAATTAACAGAAACAAGAACATACATGATTCTATGAGTTTGCATGCATGCTTGTGTGTGTGTGTGTGTGAAGTCATGTCCAACTCTTTGTGACCCCCATGGACTGCTGCCCACCAGCCTCCTCTGTCCATGGGATTCTCTAGGCAAGAATACTGGAGTGGGTTGCCATTTCCTCCGCCAGGAGATCTTCCCAACCCAGGGATCAAACCCGTGTCTCCTGCATTGGCAGGTGCATTCTTTACCACTGAGCCACCTGGAAGGCCCAGTGATGACATTAAGCTGCCTAGAATGTGGAATATGACAAACACAACATCAGTCCCCTCAATGTTTATACCCATGAGAAAGGATCTGCTAAAAGAAATCTAGTGTTGTCATTAATCACAAGTGCTTTTGCACCTTCTTTTTTAGGATATCTGTTAAGTCTTGATTTATAAAAGAAAAATGACTGTTTAAGGTAACAGGGAACACTAATTCATCAATATTTAAGACATGTTTTTAGATATTCTTTAAGATTTTACAATCTAAAATGAAGATAAAATGGCATTCAGAATTATAGAAATAAAAATGACTATAAATTTAAGTGTTATAGCAATTGTTAAATGTTTTTTGTATCATTTTGATTCAAAACACTGCTCAAAATTTGTCTCTAAAATATGTATTAAAGATGATGTTTATCAATATATAGGTGGAATATTTATATACTACTTTTCAAATAAGTAATTGTATTTCTAAATGCCTGTTAACCATACATGAGTGATAGACCTACATATGAAATCTTAAGGAGAGTGAGCAAATTCAAGGTGAAGCCATGAGTAAAATAAAAAGCAATGATTTAAATGGTTCTCTTAAGATCTTAGTACAGTGGGCTGAGAGAAGATAAGACATTTAATTATAAGGCTTTATCTGAGGTTCAGAATCTTAAACCTGGACAATAAATAAAGAAAGGAGCTGAATGGCAAAAATAAAAATAAGAATGGGTCTGAATAACTTACAGGTTATTTTATCAAGAACTGACAACAGTCTCAAACTCTCACAGTCCCCCTCTATGCTCTGAATTTGCTTAAGCTGTTGAGGCACATGTTACGCTTTGGGGTGACAAGTGCGTAAGAAAGCATAAGAAAGAAGCCTAAGAGGACCATCTATTAGCACTGGACAGATCTCAGAACCTTTAAAGAGGAAAAGTCCAAAAGTACAATTTTCACCTCCAGAATTTTAATTCCCTACCAAAATAATAAATTCAACACTATTCTTGAAGGTTACAGAAAATGGTGGGAAAGGCTATTACTATTTAAAACAATGTTAAAACTAGAATAAATACCATCTTAGAAGTTAGTTGAATAAGAGAAACAAACATAACAAAGACAATGAGAGATAGATGCCACTGTTACAAACAAGTTCTTCAATGGTTTTGAAGACAGTGTTTCTGAAAACCAGGGGTACCAACATTTTCATTGTGAAGCAAGACTCACATTTTTAGTTTCTCTTCTGCTGTCCTGAATTAACTGTTAAAAGATATGTTAAAACATGCAGTTTAACAACCAAAATTTAAATACCGATGGCTTGAAATTCAAAAAGTGCAGGATAATTTCCTCTTTAAATGCTTTTTCTGTGTGCATCTTCTATATTGCAAGCAAAAGCATGTTAACAAATTTATGTTATGAAATATACACTGTTAAACGATTCAAAATTTCTATTAAGACTAAAATTTGATCTTAGCACAATATCCCATATTAATATTCTGCTATTCAGTGTATTGTTTCCAGATGATTATGTTGCACCAAATTAGGCATGCAGGCTTAGATTAAGAATCAGAACAGACCTTGCCATCAGCCTCAGCAGAAGCAGCAGGGGAGGGCTCCTGGGAGGCAGGTGCCAAAGCACTTGGAACTTTAGAAGACTAAAGGCAAAAAATTCAGGGAAAAAAAAATCAAGGATGCCAAAAATGCATTCAGAAACATTCTATAAATATGAATTTTCCCCATGAAAAACAAAAATGGGACATAATGTTTATTTTTCCTTATTTTCTGTACTATTGTCACTGTTGTCACCTTTGTTTAAGACTTGTTCAGATGAATTCCTAAGAAAAGTTCAAATCCAAAAGCTTCACTTTGATATTTACAAGCTGATAAGATCTTTTCTGGTAAAGAATTCAAGGTAACAGATTTTTACACAAAAACTTTAATATATGCAACTATTACAGGAAACTAAAACCTAGTATGCACATATTGTCATCTTCCCTCTCCAAAAAAGCCTCTTGTTACAATAAAGTCATTAAGTCATTTCAACTAATTTTACAAAGTTGACAGTCACTGAATTCTTCAAAAAGCCTTGATACTTAAAATCCACCTTTAAGCATTTATTCCAATGTATTAAAAATATTTTATCTTTAAATTACTCAAAGCCGTTCTGAAACTTGCATACCTTTACTCAAATATGCCAATGGAATATTAAAGTAAGAAGAAAAAATTACTCCTAGAACTCAGTAATATTCTGAGGCTCACCAATCCATCTCTGCATATTGGTTGGGAATATGCTTTAAAAACATTTTTTACCTTGTCTCGTGATACAGCTGAAGGCAGTTCTCTTGCTAGCCTGTTTCTCCTTTGTTCCTATAAAACACAAGCAAGCATAAGATTCATGATTATCAGAACATAAGAGATGTAAGCTACTAAAAAAAATGTTCAGCTTAATTGAAAAGTATGGAATAACTAACAGTATATCCTCCCACTGTTGAGACTCATACCATAATTATATTTTAAAACAAACAAGAAATCATTAACCTGATGCTTCTCAATCTTTTTTCTGCTCCAACATACCTGAGGGATAAATACAACATCAGTAATAGTGGCTTTCTGTACCAAGAATTCTCAAGGGAGGGGCAGTGGCCCAGCATCATCTCTGCCTTTCCCACAAAGTTAAGAATCACTGATTTAAACTGTTCCCACATAAAAGTGTACATAAGCCTTCAACACACCATATAGAATCTGAAGTATACAGGTCACAGAAAACTTAAGCAAAGCCTTTAAAAATCACTCTAACCTGCTGACATTTGTGTTACATTCACACAATTCTCACAAAACAATAAGAAATATCTATAAGAATGTTCTGCTTTCTTAGTGTTAGAAACTGACGGTCTGTTCTATAACTTGGGCAATTTAACAGACTGATCACCTGCCACTCTTCTAGTTTGTTGATATCATCAATATAATTCTGGTACCAAACTAAAGAAACTGTAAATTCAAACCAACAATACCTACTGTATGTAAAGCACCATAATAGGTGCAAGACTATGAAAATATAAAAGGACAAAGGTGTTAATACTGGCTCACAAGCAGCATCAAATACAGCAGAAAAGCATTTAAGTTAAATGCAGTCAAAATGCTCCTGAGTTGAAAGCATTTCATGAACACTCAGACTTGCAAAAAAGGTGTAAGTTAACAAAGCTTCACAGTGTTGTTTTTGGGTAAGAAAATTTTGTAACAAATTATACTAACTTTTCACTTACCTAGTGATTAAAAATATAGCAAATGATAAAAATATATGGATTTTTAACAACTTTCAGAATTACAAGTTAGCATTTAAATGTACATTTTGAAGAAGAACACAAAGCAAAAGGCAGAGGAATCAAGAGACCAGAAATTTTCATGCTAGTCTATTACCAACCATTACCAACCAGTTATGACCTTAGCCGGCCCCGGAGAGCTGGCTTACTGCTTTGTTAACTGAACAAGTTACTAACTCTCAGCCCCGGTTTCCTAGTCTATTAACATTACCTTTATAAGGTTGCTCTAAAGATTAAATGAGAGTATCTATGTATTTGTTCTCTGACACATAGTTATTAAAATCAGAGACATTCACCTGTAAGAAAAATACTGATCTGAAATCATATCATAAATGACCTTGTCAGTACCAGAAAAACTGTTTCAGACAAAAATCTTCCTTGAAGGTTTCCATGTTACAAGAACTAACTCCTATCTTAAAGAAAGTGTCTACATGCCAATTTTTAACATGATAATTGTTATAGAATCCACTTTCTTAAGTGTCTTCAAGTGCCTTACTTACATGTGTTTTGGAATTTTTTCTGACAATAGGAGTTACCTCAACTATGCAGCTAAAAAATAGTTCCCTGTACCTGTTAAAGAGAAGGTGCTTTCCCCCTCTAACAGTGTCCAGCAAAATATGCAGTAAAGTAACAGCTGTTATCAGCTGTGGGTCTCGGGTTCTTGATCTTTTTAACTAAAAGGTCCCTTGCAGTTTCCAAATTCCATGTTTACAATTTTCTCTCTCTGTGCATAAGAGAAAATTTGATACAGAAGAGAGACTTCCTGGACTATGAAACAGCAGAAAATTTTACTGTTTTGTATAAAAATGGCAGAGAAAAAAATGCATGCAGATAAATCATTCTATCTATCAGCCTTGGCTCCTTCTGAGTTCTTATGCAACCTACAACATTAACCTCAAATGGAAAAAAGAAAGGATCCATGAAATGCAGCAATCATAGTAGTGGTGAAACAGTACTGTTTTTCCAAATACACTATAATTTAGGTAATTCTTGGATTGTTTCCTTCAAAGCTTTCAGAATCAAGTAAAAACAAGTTTTAAACATCCACTGTTTTACATACTTTAGTCTAATAAACTGCAACAACAGTTAACTGAAATGGAACCAGACAGTCCTTCAAATACAAATACTAAATCAATGAGCCCCAGATCCTCTCTGAGTTACAGTTTCATAAGCAGAAAATAAGAACAATCCCTCCAGGTGATTTTGAGGATTAAATTTAAGAAAACAATGTAATGCCCTCAGCATAATTCTTGGAATATGACAATAATAAGGTACATAAATGTCTTATAGTTATTCCTTGCTCAGTAAATTTGATATAATTGATCTAAAACAGATTTTCTCTCTCAAAAAATACAAATTCAAATTGTATTTACCTCTATATTGTTGTTCATTAACCCACAAGCATCAGCAAAGTCTGGATGTTTTGTGTTGATATAAGCCAATTCAATTGCCACTAAGTTATGAACCTAGAAAAAAATAAAATTAGGCTATATACAATATCATGCCAACCTAATTTTAATTTAGGAAACATATTAACTTATTTAACAGATAAATTCTGAAAGACTGTACAGGAAACATGCCTAAAGAAATACTTGATAATTATGCTTCAACTGATAAATCTTATACGAAATAACAATTTGCTCTCTCTTTTAAATTATTTATATTTCAGCATCTAAGACTGCATTTCTGACACTGAAGTAGATAAAAGTATACTGTTAGGGAGAAAAAAGTTATCTACTTGATGTGTATCTAACTTCCAAGCAACTCTGCTATATAAAAACCTTAGATCATCCACTATTCCATGTCAAAAGCTCAGGTTCAATAATAAAACATTACAGAATCAGATATAAGTTAAAGATGTTAACTTCACTTGGGTAAAGGATACATTTAAAGGCCTGAGCTAACCTAATTGATTAGCCCTAATTATGAAGCACCTAGTTTAAATATATGTAGTTCAAAATCCTAATTGGGACAGTAATCAAAAAGGAAAGTTAAAATTAATTACTCTAGCATTATAGAGAGATTAAACTAAGTCCTTCATTTCACTGTCCTGACAAATCTCAGGTATCAGAACAGCACTAAAAGATCAAAACCAGTGAAAATGATTTATTTAAATGAAATTCTGCTGACTCTTGTATCAGTGGGTAGAGTCCAAGATCAGGCTAATCATGTTCTCACTCATTTTAATTCGTGGTTATGCTTGCCAGGAAAACAGCTAAGCAGCAGCACTTACATTCTATACTTCCAAGGATGGTTTTGTACTTGTAAAGTAAATGTAAGTAAATGTCCATTGGGGCTCACCACCCTGAGCCAAGGACCCAAATGCACTTTTAGAGACCAGAAAGGAAAAAAAGAAACAGTCAACAGTTAGAGGCAATATGGACAATTTCAAATGCTTATCTCATATTTACGCCAGTTTCAGGATTTTATTTTTAAGGATAGCAGCCATGATATTATGACATTAGGTCATCAAACAAGCAAGCTGTACAAACAGCCAAATTATTCTGACATACATCAAAGTTAAAAAATAACTTGCTATATAAAAGCTCAGTTTGCTGGGGCTGAAGATAAAACCAACTTTCCATTAGAACAGTGCTGCTATATGTATGTGTGCTCAGTTGTGTCCGACTCTGTGGATGTGAAGTAAGTAGAGCCACAAAATGGAAAAAGTTTAATGGCTAGGCTTAAAAAAAAATCCTTGTCTATTATGTTACGTATGAGGGCACTGTATTAGAAAAAACTATTATTTCGTTTACATCCAGTCAAAAAAGAGTTTTTTAAGGTGGTAGTATTTTAATAAATCAATGTAACCCCTAGCATTAGTGATTCTACGTAACTGCCAGGATGTGACTTGAAGACATTTTATCAAAGGTATCCTAATAATACCTAAAGGCAGCTGAAATTAAAAATTATGGACAGGAAACTAATTACTATTGAGTGTCTACTTATGTTTTAGACACTCTACTGTGAGAAATTTGCAAATGGTATCTCTTTGAACCTTCCCAACATACGGGAGAGCTATTATTTTAGTCTGTTTTACAATCAGGAAACTTACTAAGTGATACATTTACCAAAGTCACATGGCTGGTGAAAGCAGAGCCAGATTCAAATGAAGATCTTATCCAAAACCTTTATAAAATAGGAAACACTGAAGCTGTCATGAAGTCTGGGTTCTACTCCCAGTTCATCCACAAACTAGGTGTAATGTGGGGTTAAATGATTCCTGACATCTTTGGTCTCAAACCTTTTAAAATGAAAACGTTACTCACTGATGTCTTCATACTTGTCTGCTTCTAATCACACATCTTTCTCCCTCACCCTTGCTCTTTTTTTAATTCCCATTATCTCTTTTCAAGGCAAGGAAGTGTTATAAAAGTGTATTTGTAGATGGCTACTCTCCAATTTAGTTTCTTGTCCATGGATAAAATACACAGTTGATTAAGACATATATTTTTACCTGTTACTTAAGAGTACTGCTTTAAAAAAAAAAAAAAAGAGTACTGCTTTTGACTGTGGTTAATGGTAATAATGTGGCCTACATTATTCAAACATTGCTTACTTAAAAGTCACACAGTTTGAGTCTTGGCTGAATTACTTAATATGTGACCTTGGGCAAATTAATCTCCCTGGGCCTTCCTTACTTTGTTATAAAATGAGATAATACCTATTGCATAGAATTATTGTCAGAATTAAATAAAACAATTCATGTCAAGCATTACAGACAATTCCTGGTGCCACCATCATCAATTTTAGGCCATCATTGTCATCCTCCTCACCATCCAAAGTACTTAGTAACACAGTTTCCTTTAGTTGAAACAGTTTTGTTAATTTTTTCAACCTTAGGAGCCAGCTAGATATTAACAATAAGAAGAATGTATCTGATTCACTCAGTGATGAATATGCTTTCCTTCAAAAGAAATAACCATCTCTTGCTAATAGAAATGGAACAAAGTATCTTGTCCAGACTTTAAACAGGTAACATTTTTTACCTTTTGGAAAATGAGATGTTTCTGGTTTGCCAATAGGTGTCAGAGACCTTTGATTACATTTTTAATCCTTACATTTCTATACTGTGTGTGTCTATAATATTTCACTTTTTGTTTCTTGTATAGTAGGTTCTTATAATGTATTTATTTTTATTGAGCTGTGCCCAGTCATGTCTGACTTATGGCCGCCCCATGGACTGTAGCCTGCCAGGCTTCTCTGTCCATAGGATTTCCAGGCAAGAATACTGGAATGGGTTGCCATTCCTACTCCAGGGGATTTTCCCAACCCAGGGATCAAACCTGTGTCTCTTGGGTCTACCTGCATTGGCAGGCATATTCTTTATTATTGCACTACCTGGGAAGCCCATATATATAATAAAGCATACCTGAATACAATCCTCAACAATAAACTTCCGCTGGCTATTTTTAGGAAAATGTGGCTGCAGGCTAACAATGACTAAAATATGAGGAAAAATGCATTTTATACTAGAACTACTGAAGTTTCCTTTGAAATAAGACTGAAATTCACTTCTTTTTCTTTTTGATACACTGGGAAACATTATGCCTAAACTCATAAAGTATACAAAATGATTTTATTAACAGTGACTACAATGATTTATGAAATAATAGCTCACCATTTCATTTGTAACAGGCAACCGTTTACGAAGAAGACAAGTCACTACTTCAACTATGGCATCATGAAGTTTAGGGAACCGCAACAACTCCTATATATGATGGAAGTAAGAAACAGTCTGTTTGGTTTGAAGGAAAATTAATCACTGAAATCTAAACCAGATTTGGAAGCTATATTTAACTATACTATTTCAAATATCACTTTTAGATAAGGAACTAAAATTTTAACTTTTAGTCCATCTTCTATATTTCCTCCTGTCCCTTGAAACTATCACCTCATGTCTTTTACTACTTAATCAGAAACCTGTTACATTTCTCAATACCTGTGTACTGTAATTGCTACAGTGCTGAATGATCCTTTGCATTTCTTCATGAACCAGTTCCACACAACGGAGGCTGGGCTCTTCCAGACGTTTAATTTGCCGTTTGACCAGTAACTCAAATGAAACTTCAGGCACAAACAAAGCAGGACGAGGACCCTAAAAAGATACAATCATGAGCTCTTATAGCTACGTATAATTTTGGTTCTTCCCTAAGGTTAAAATAAATCAAATTTTTTGGCATTTTTTCATGAAAAGTACTTCCTAATTTCAAGAATAAGAGCAAAATAACAAACTGTACCATTCATTAAAAAGGATATATGGATTAAAGAATAATCTTTAACCTCATTTCAAAAAATTCTAAAAGTTAAGCATACTCACAGTTGCATTTCTAATGGCAGTCAAAATGTCAATAGTGTTAAGGCCACCGAGAGGGTCAACAGATTCTAAGGTTCGCCCAAAAGTCTCATGGAAAATATAACATATTCGAGCACCACCACATCTGAAAGGCAATGAAATATATGATTTCTAGTATTACTAAAAGGGAAAGACACTACAAACTAGAAGTCTTTCTGTAAGCATTAAGATGATAGACAACTACATTTAGACCATTTCCATGTATTCTCAACTGTTATGAATCAATTTCTCTAATCTTTTTAATGGGGAAAGGAGTCATTTCACAAAAGGCATTGATATATGCATGTGCACGTGTGCACAGAGGTAAATTGTTCTGTCAGAAAACATCAGTTAACTAACAACAACTAAACATTTTTCTCTGCTCGAGTTTTCAACTAGACCACATGCTCCTTAAGGATAAGAAAAGTATCCTACTAATTTCTATTTATTCACAATCTAGAGTAGAGATCAGCGAACTTTTTCTATGAAAGGCCAATTAAATACTTTTAGACTTTTCAGGCCTCTGTCACAACTTGCCAATTCTGCCATTGAGCACAAAAGCAACCACAGACTGTATGTAAACAAATAAGCATAGCTATGTTCCTGTAAACTTACACACACTAAAATTTGAACTTTACATATACACTACATAAAAAATTCTTTGAATTTTTTTTCAACTATTTAAAAAATGTAAAATGATTCTTAGTCAATGGGCTTATCCCTGCTTTAAACAAATTAAATCTCTACGCCTACATACTAGATACCTTGTGTTTCCTGTCTTAATGACTAGAAATCCTGGTATTATCTTTTATTTTTTTCATTCAAATCCAGTTGAAACTTTACAAATATGGTATATCCCCCCAAATCATTCATTCTTCTCTATTTTAACCATCACTATTCACTACTTTCTTAACAGTAGCCTAGGCAGAAGGTTCCAGCCTAACATTATACTAAGTGAAATACTAAGTGAAATATACTTATTTATACTAAGTGAAATAACCCAGACAGAAAAGGACAAATACTGTATGATTTTCCTTATATGAAATATCTAGAATAGGGAAATTCACATAGAAAGTAAGTCAGAGGTTACCATGGGCTAGGAGAAGAGAGGTAGACAAATACCACTGCTTATTTGATACAGAGTTTTTGTTGGGATGATGAAAAATCTTGGAAGTAGATACTATTTGATGATTGTACAATATTGTGAATATACTTGGTAGTACGTATTATACTTTTAAATAGTTAAAATTACCAGTAACTAGTCTCTCTGCCTCCAACCTTTACCTTTTCCAAATAGTTTGCATAATGACCAGAATTACCCTTCTAAAGTGGGGAACTCCTATGACCAAAAATGTTTTCATTTTTTTTTAGTAGGAAGCTCTTCAAATTCTGACACATTACACTTTCCACAGTCTTGTTCTTATTAGACACCTTTCCTGCCTTACTTCCTGTTACATCCCATCACTGTACGTGCCATTCTCCAAATTCGCCCTGCACTATTCTCTGCTGTTCCAAAGCCTAAAATACCCTTCTGCTTACTGCTTACGGCCTCCCCATATTCTATTCACAGCCCAACCCAAATGCATTCCTAACTATGGAGCTCTCCCAATCCTTGAAAGAGATATAAATGGTCTCTCTTCAATGTTCTAATGAGGCTTGATTAGATAATTATAAAGCTAGAAATATTCTATGGAGTTAACTCACACAGAAGGCTACCAGGGTCACATGAAAGTACACAGAACTGTACACCCACACACACACATGAAGTGTAACTGGTGAAATCTGAATAAACTGTGGATTGTACCAATGTCCATTTTCTTGCTTTGTTATTGTACTACAGATATGCAGGATGTCAACACTGGGGGAGGTGGGGTGAAGGGTAAATGGGACCTCTCTGTATATTTATTTGCAACTTGCTAGAAATCTATAGTTATTTTTCAAAATTAAAAGGCTTTTTAAAGGTGAGAGTTCAGAGAAATATATTCTTATATATTGCTACTAGTAATACAATACAATCTACTACTAACATCCCAGGTGGCACTAGTGGTAAAGAACCTGCCTGCCAATACAGGAGGATGTCACAGAACTCCTAACATGTTGGAGGACGTTAGAGATCCAGGTTTTATCCCTGGGTCACGATGATCTCCGGGAGGTAGGCATGGCAACCCACTCCAGTATTGTTTGCCTGGAGAATCCCATGGACAGAGGAGCCTGGTGGACTACAGTCCATAGAGTCGCAAAGAGCCAGACACGACTGAAGCAACTTAGCATGCACTACTAATATAGCAATGATAAGAGACTTTGAGGATGTGATATACCTTTTGATCTATTCTACTTCTAGAAATTTACCCTAAGGATTTACTTGGATACATGCTCCAAAGATAGTCCATCACAACACTGTATATATTTGTATATAACCAAAAGCAAACTACCAAGAGTAGGGGACTGATTGAACAAATAAGAGTATATGTCTAAAAAGTCAATACTATATAAACCTTAAGGTTGAAGATACAAATATGCAATTTCTACTAGCTGTTTGTGACAAGTTGATTTAAAGAAATGATTCTGTAGCATCTGATTTTTAAAGATGTATATTATAGGCATTTATATGTCCTATAAATATATAGAAAAATGTCTAGATTAATGCCAAAGTAATAGGGATTATTTCTGGATGATGGAATTGAAAGTAATTTTATCCTTATACTTTACTCTTTTTCCTTATCTGCATTTTTTTTTATTTTTTCATGAACAATGTTGTTGTCCATATTAAAGAAACAAACTCTTTTAAATTATAAAATGTTATACTTATCAATTAAAGTCTTGTTTTTAAAAAAAAACCTTAGTTTACCATGTTTTACATATTTTTACATACTTTTATGGCATTTTACATACATATCAAATATTGTTCATAATTTCTACAAAATGATATTCCTGTTTTACAGATAATAAATCATAATCAGATAATCTCAAAGTCACTGTAACAAAAGATCTTTATCTTTCTTCTTTATCTAACCTAGCAATCCAGGTAGCCAAATCCATAGAGAAATTTCTTACTTACAGCTCTGAAGTTTCAATATATTTTGCAGTTCCTTCAATAGTATTACAATATTCTGTGGCAAATTTGGTAATAAGCTGGAGTAAAGTAGCACTTTTATCATCCACAGGTTCACCATAGCTATTTAGAAGAGACTGATATTGAGCAGCTAGAACATTTATTCTTGTTTTCAACTCTGGTAAGCAATCTCTGATGTGATGCATCAGTAACCTAACAAAGGTTAGAAAGGAAGAATTTTAAAGTAAAATTGTGTATTTTGAAGATCCAAGGAGCTCAAATTTTAAAAATGCAAATAATGGGGAAACCTGTCAAACAACTTGTCTTGGCAGGAAATAATGCCATTTTAGAATAGACATAAATACTTAGTCTGAAAAATGACAGGAAGGAAACTGTCTTGTTAAAATGCCTTTTAAATTTGCCTTCAATCCAATAAATGGTAACAACTGCTAGAGAATCAAATATAAATTTAAAAAATTTTTTCTCTATTACAGCAATTACCTTAAAGAAAGTTAGCTACACAATCTAATTATACCTACATTATTTTGGTTTCTGACTTATCTTTTATAATAGGTACTCAGCACAGTGAAAATCAATCTTGTTAAAATCCATGTCCATCCACTTTTAATTTATTTAGGGAATAAAGCAAAGATACAGACATGATTTAGCAACTGAATGACAACAACAGAAGGAAACAGCTTTCACTTAAGTTGTGTATAAATCGTCTAGAAAGTTCTTCTAATTCTTTGAATGATCTAATACCATCAGTGGGTATTAAGAATTCAAAGGAAAAAAAAAAGAATTCAAGGTATACAGCTTACATTCTTTTTATGAACAGGACTAGAAGACATGATAATTAAGACAAGATTATGTGAAAATTATATATTTTAATTCAGTTCTTGAAATACAAAATGGAAATGACATCAACTGCCATCTATTTCTATCATCAAAGTAGAATGACTGTAAATAATTTCATGATTAATGTATTTTAAAAATCACTTGAGCATTCCTAGATTACACGATGATTTAATGCCAACTACCTCAATGAAAGGGTTTCCCAGGTGGCACGCTAATGGTAAAGAAACCACCTGCTAATGCAGGAGATGCAAGAGACACAAGTTTGATCCCTGGGTTGGGAAGATCACTTGGAGAAAGGAATGGCAACCCACTCCAACATTCCTGCCTGGAAAATTCCTGGACAGAGGAGCCTGGCAGTCTACAGTCCATGGGGCGGCCGTGAGTCAGACATGACTGGGCACAGCTCAATAAAAATAAATACATTATAAGAACCTACTATACAAGAAACAAAAGTGAAATTTCATAGACAAGCACATTATAAAAATGTAAGGAATTGAAAATCAAAGGCCTGAGATACCTACTGGCAAACCAAAAACATCTCATTTTCCAAAAGGTAAAATGTTACCTGTTTAAAGTCCGGGCAAGATACTTTGTTCCATTTCTATTAGCCAGAGATGGGTATTTCTTTTGAAGAAAAGCATATTCATCACGGATTGAATCAGTTACACTCTTCTTATTGTTAATATCTAGCTGACTCCTAAGGTTGAAAAAAATAACAGAACTGTTTCAACCCAAGTAAAATGAGGTACTAAGTGCTTTGGCAACATCCACTCGATCATGGAAAAAGCAAGAGTTCCAGAAAAAAATCTGTTTCTGCTTTATTGACTATGCCAAAGCCTTTGACTGTGTGGATCACCACAAACTGGAAAATTCTGAGAGATGGGAATACCAGACCACCTGACCTGCCTCTTGAGAAATATGTATGCAGTTCAAGAAGCAACTGTTAGAACTATACGTGGAACAACAAACTGGTTCCAAATAGGAAAAGGAGTATGTCAAGGCTATATATTGTCACCCTGCTTATTTAACTTATATGCAGAGTACATCATGAGAAATGCTGGGCTGGATGAAACACAAGCTGGAATCAAGATTGCTGGGAAAAATATCAATAACCTCAGATATGCAGATGACACCACTCCTATGACAGAAAGTGAAGAACTAAAGAGCCTCTTAATGAAAGTGAAAGAGGAGAGTAAAAAAGTTGGCTTAAAATTCAACACTGAGAAAACTAAGATCATGGCATCCAGTCCCATCACTTCATGGGAAATAGATGGGGAAACAGTGGCAGACTTTGTTTTTTTGGGCTCCAAAATCACTGCAGATGGTGACTGCAGCCATGAAATTAAAAGACGCTTACTCCTTGGGAGGAAAGTTATGATAACCTGGACAGCATATTAAAAAGCAGAGACATTACTTTGCCAACAAAGGTCTGTCTAGTCAAGGCTATGGTTTTTCCAGTAGTCATGTATGGATGTGAGAGTTGGACTATAAAGAAAGCTGAGTGCCGAAGAATTGATGTTTTTGAACTGTGGTGTTGGAGAAGACTCTTGAGAGTCCCTTGGACTGCAAGGAGATCCAACCAGTCCATCCTAAAGGAAATCAGTACTGAATATTCATTAGAAGGATTGATGCTGAAGCTAAAACTCCAATACTTTGGCTCCTGATGTGAAGAGCTGACTCATTTGAAAAGACCCTGATGCTGGGAAAGATTGAAGGCAGGAGGAGAAGGGGATGACAGAGGATGAGATTGTGGGATGGCATCACTGACTCAATAGACATGAGTTTGGGTAAACTCTGGGAGTTGGTGATGGACAGGAAGGCCTGGTGTGCTGCAGTCTGTGGGGTCGCAAAGAGTCGGAAACGACTGAGCAACTGAACTGAACTGAAGTAGTTTGAATGGTGAGGAGGATGACAATGATAGCCTAAAATTAATGATGGTGGCACCAGGAACTGTCTATAATGCTTGAAGTGAACTGTTTCATTTAATTCTCAAAACAATTCCATGCAATAGGTATTGTCTCATTTTATAACAAAGTAAGGAAGGCCCAGAGAGATTAATTTATCCAAGGTCACATATTAAGTAATTCAGCCAAGATTCAAACTGTGTGACTTTTAAGTAAGCAATGTTTGAATAACATAGGCCACATTATTACCATTAACCACAGTCAAAAGCAGTACTCTTAAGTAACAGGTAAAAATATATGTGTCTTAATCAACTGTGTATCTTATCCATGGACAAGAAACTAAATTGGAGAGTGAAAGTGAAAGTGAAGTCGCTCAGTCGTGTCTAACTCTTTGCAACCCCATGGACTATAGCCTGCCAGGCTTCTCCGTCCATAGGATTTTCCAGGCAAGAGTACCAGAATGGGCTGCAAAATACAACACTTTTATAATGCTTGCCATGAAGAGATAATGGGAATTAAAGAGCAGGGGTGAGGGAGAAAGACGTGTGATTAGAAGCAGACAAGTATGAAGACATCAGTGAGTAACGTTTTCATTTTAAAAGGTTTGAGACCAAAGATGTCAGGAATCATTTAACCCCACATTACACCTAGTTTGTGGATGAACTGGGAGTAGAACCCAGACTTCATGACAGCTTCAGTGTTTCCTATTTTATAAAGGTTTTGGATAAGATCTTCATTTGAATCTGGCTCTGCTTTCACCAGCCATGTGACTTTGGTAAATGTATCATTTAGTAAGTTTCCTGATTGTAAAACAGACTAAAATAATAGCTCTCCGGTATGTTGGGAAGGTTCAGAGAGATACCATTTGCAAATTTCTCACAGCAGAGTGGCCAAAACATAAGCAGACACTCAATAGTAATTAGTTTCCTGTCCATAATTTTTAATTTCAGCTACCTTTAGGTATTATTCAGTTCAGTTCAGTTCAGTTCAGTTCAGTCGTTCAGTCGTGTCCGACTCCTTGCGACCCCATGAATCGCAGCACGCCAGGCCTCCCTGTCCATCCCCAACTCCCGGAATTCATTCAAACTCATGTCAGTGAAGTCGGTGATGCCTCCAGCCATCTCATCCTCTGTCGTCCCCTTCTCCTCCTGCCCCCAATCCCTCCAGCATCAGGGTCTTTTCCAATCAGTAAACTCTTCACACGAGGTGGCCAAAGTATTGGAGTTTCAGCTTCAGCATCAGTCCTTCCAATGATCACCCAGGAATGATCTTTAGGATGGACTGGTTGGATCTCCTTGCAGTCCAAGGGACTCTCAAGAGTCTTCTCCAACACCACAGTTCAAAAGCATCAGTTCTTCAGTGCTCAGCCTTCTTTACAGTCCAGTTCTCACATCCATATACGACTACTGGAAAAACCATACCCTTGACTAGATGGACCTTTCTCGGCAAAGTAGTACCTCTGCTTTTTAATATGCTATCTAGGTTGGTCATAACTTTTCTCCCAAGGGGTAAGCATCTTTTAATTTCAAGGCTGCAATCACCATCTGCAGTGATCTTGGAGCTCCAAAAAATAAAGTCTGACACTGTTTCCACTGTTTCCCCATCTATTTCCCATGAAGTGATGAGACCAGAGGCCATGATCTTAGTTTTCTGAATGTTGAGCTTTAAGCCAACTTTTTCTCTCCTCTTTCACTTTCATCAAGAGGCTTTTTAGTTCTTCTTCACTTTCTGCCATAAGGGTGGTGTCATCTGCATATCTGAGGTTATTGATATTTCTCCCAGCAAAATTAGGTATTATTAGGATACCTTTAATAAAATGTCTCCCAAGTCACATCCCAGCAATTGTGTAGAATCATTAATGCTAGGGGTTACATTGATCTATTAAAATACTCCTTAAAAATCTCTTTCTTGACTGGATGTAAACTAAATAATACTTTTTTCTAATACATGAGTTTTCTAATACCGAGTGCCCTCATCATACATAACATAATAGACAGGGATTTGTTTTTTTTAAGCCTAGCCATTAAATTTTTTTCCATTTTGTGGCACTGCTTACTTCATAAACATTTTCTGTTTAAAAGTATCTACAGGAGGTTTTAGTGAATCTCTTTTCTTCCTTTAGAGCAACGAATTCTTTAACAATACCAAGATTATAGTAAAAGGGGAAAATATAGGGACACTATCACATTTCAGACTGAATCAAAAACTTTAGGTTTGCTTTGAAATGAGAACACTGCGATCTTGACTGCTCACCTGTTAACTACTCCAATTATTCCCAGTTTGACTGGTATAACCCTTCCCATCAATACATCCATGGCATCAGTACCCGCATCCATGAGATCAAGTTTTGTGATTACAGCTAGGGTTCTGCGACCTGATAAATGCAAAAAAGAAAAGAAATGACCCATTAAATTAAGCTTTAAAGTATTAAGAAAGGAAAATCCTAATCTATAATCCCACCTAATGTTATCTCTGCTATCATTTTGTTAATGTTTTTCTAACCTTTGCTTACAAATATTTTTTTAAAACTAATTTTAATCATGTTTAATTTTAAAATTTTTTCACATATAATTTTTATTAGCTATTTTTGCCTAGCCTATATAGCAATTTATCCATTTCCATCAAAATTTCTATTTGATATTATAAGTAAAAATAGAAAAGCATTACTAGCTAGACATACTCCTTTTAAAAATTAAAAACACCTCTCTTGAGGGCAGATTCACCTCTGTTAACCAAGCATCTCATTAAAAATTTATATCCGTCCTTACCATCTGGATCTACCTCTCTTGAAATTTTCAGTGCCTCTGATGTTGCCATATCTGTATTAGCAGCAGTGACAGCAAGGATAATGGAATTTGGATTACTGATGAACCGAAGAATGAGCTCTCTGATTTGAAGCTCAATATCTTTAGGTTGATCACCTACAGGCACCTGAACAAAACAGAGATGATCAAGAAACAGGTAATAAAAATCAACTCAGCTTTTTCCCCTCATTTAATCCATAGAATATAGGTGTTACTCCATTTACAGATAAATAAAATGAATTTATATACTTCAGTGTTCATACAAATTTGGTAATATGTATAAGTCTCAAAATGTAACTCCTGCAAATATTAAATGTCTACCATGTTAAGGATTGGTCAGTGTTAACTGTCTAGAGACAAATTCATTCATTCACTCAATTAGCAAATATTTATTGACAACCTACTATATTTCAGGCACTATTCCATATATCAGATTATATCACAGTAGTGAATAAACAAAGACCAAATTTCCTAGCTTCACTGAGTTTTAGTGATAAAAAGGAGGTAATAAACACTTTATATACATAGTATCTAGGTGTTGGTAAGACTATGGAAAAAATAAAGACCAGGAGGCTAAGGAATACTTAGGTTAAAGCTTATACTTTAAACTATTATTTTAAATTGGATTATGCTTTTAAATTGAGTAATCAGGGAGACCTCAGCCAGACAATGACATTTAAGAGAATGACTGCAGACTGAAAGAGATAAGGGAGAGGTACAGGCAGCTATCTGGGGGATGAACATTTGAACAAAACGGCAGAAGACTGACTGGAGCAAAAGGAATAAGAAGAGTAATAAGAGACAGATCAAGGAGGTACTTTCAATCTCTTTAAAACATAAGCTTTTACTCTGAGTGAAATGGGAAGCCTCTAGAAAGATTCTGAGCCAAGGAATGACAAAATCTTATTTTCACTTTAACAGTATCACTCTGGCTGCTTAGTTAATAAATTATGAGGAAGACCACTTAGGAGACTATGGTGGTAATCCAGCTGAGATGACAGTGGCTAGCTCAGGATGGTAGCTATAAATTTTTAAGACATGACAGAGTTCCAGATATACAGGTACAATTTGTTTTATTGCATTTTTCAGATTTTGCATTTTTTTACATATTGAAGGTTTGTGTCAACAAGAAAGTCTATTGGAGCCAATTTTTCCAATAGCATTTGCTCACTCTGTGCCTCTGTATCACATTTTAGTAGTTCTTAAAATATTTCAAACCCTCCACCAGCAGAAAGATGACATCCAATTCACTAAAGGTTCAGATGGTTAGCATTTTTTTTAGAAATAAAGTATTTTTTTAATTAAGGTATGTACATTGCTTTATTAGACATAATGCTGTTACACACCTAACAGAATAGAGTACAGCTGACCCTTGAATAACACAGGGTTAACGAGCACTGACCCCTTCATGTACTTGAAAATCTGCTTTTGACTCCCCAAAAAATTAACTACAAATATCCTCCTGTTGACTAGAAGCCTTATACCAACAACAGGCAATAACATATATTTTATATGTATTATATACTGTATTCTTACAATAAAGCTAAAGAAAATGTTGGTAAGAAAATTGTAAGGAAAATACATTTACAGTACTGTACTCTGTCAATACTTAAGTTTATGTCATCTGTTTACAAGATATCTCATCTATCAGTACTCATCTATCAGTACATCAATGCTGTCTTATGATACAAAACACTGTTAGTTGTTATACATTACTGACACTAAATACAAAAAATGAAAAGATAATGTGAAAGAGAAATTCATATTTATTTAAAGATATAACAATTCATGCATTGATAATGAAGTAGCAACAAGACTGTTTTATGATAGCCTAGTATAATTGAAATGATTGCTTCACAGTAGCCTAGAGTATGCAGCGAAGAGTGAATCATTATAAAATGTTTATAGATTCCAATGTTGAAGTCATATTCATAACACCACACAGAAACCAATTACCTGTGATGATGGGCTGATACGCAGTTTCTCCAATTACAAGTGAAGGCATACTGTACAGTAAAATAATTCTTTGAAAGCAAAGTTACAAAACAGAAAAAAAAAAAGAAAACCTAACACATTATTAATTTTATATTAAATATCACTCCCATTATGCCTATGTAGGGCTTTCCTTGTGGTTCAGAGAGTAAAGAATCCACCTGCAATGCAAGAGACCTGGTTTGATCCCTGGGTTCGGACGATCCCCTGGAGAAGGGCATGGCAACCCACTCTAGCATTCTTGCCTGGAGAATCCCCATGGACAGAGGAGCCTGGCGGGCTACAGTCCATGGGGTTGCAAAGAGTCAGATGCAACTGAGCGACTAAGCACATGCTTTGTAAGGATAGGCTATTCACTTCAATACAAGTCTTGTACATGATGTTCTACATAATGAGTACACAGGCAATGATGATAAAGATGACATAAAAACATACAATTCTTGCCATATAGTTACTAGATTTCACAAGAAGACACATACAACAGAACCCATGATTATTTGCTATTTGTTAAGTGGAAGTGGATCACCCTTGTCTTCACATCAAGTAAATAAAAGAAGAAAAGGAGGAGCTGGTCTTGCTGTCTCAGGAGTAGCAAGGCAGAAGTGGAGGAGGCCGAAGGAGAGGCAGGAGAGGTAGGCACACTCAGTGTAACTTGATGGAAATATATCATAATTTCTGTCTGATACTTTTGTTTTTTCACTCCAAAAATGTTTCTGTATGGTTCCATTCCTTCTTCAACCAAATCAAAAGTAGTCTTGAGTAACTGTGACTTTTCTCACAAAGTGCTTACTGTCGTTACGTTTTCCAGTACAGTTTCTTTTAAATCTTCTTTCCCACCATCTAGGCTTCCTAGGTGGCTTAGCAGTAAAGAATCTGCTTGCAGTGCAGGAAACACTGGTTCAATCCCTCAATCAAGAAGGTGCCCTGGAAGAGGGAATGGAAACCCACTCCAGTATCCTTGCCTGAAGTATCCTATGGACAAAGGAGCCTGGTAGGCTACAGTCTATAAGGTCACAAAGAGTTGGACACGACTGAAGCGACTGACCACACATGCACCCCCCTCATCTGGCACTGTTTCAGAAGCACTCATCTCCATCAAGTTACCCTCTGTTAATTCCTCTCACGTAGTGTCTACTTTAGCTCTTGGATTTCTACGAGATCCATATCTTGAAAGCCTTCACCCATCTAACCCACTTTTTCTCTTTTGGTCGTGTCCACAGTCGCTTTTATGATTTCCTTGATTGGCTCTGTTGTAAATCCTGAAGTCATACATAGCATCTGGACAAAGCTTTCTCCAGCAGGAATTTATTATTTCAGGTTTCATGGCTTTTTTTTTAACAACAACATCTTCAATAGTGTAATCCTTTCCAGACTTGCATGCTGTTCTATCAGGGTTCTCTTCCATAGGAATGACAATCCTTTCCATACAGTTCCATATGTAGTGAGCCTTAAAGGTCCATATGACCCCCTGATTTAGAGGGTGAATAAGGGACACTGTGTTTGGGGGCAAGTAGACCACTTCAACACCTGTGGCCTGGAGCACTGTCTAATACCAAAAGAACTTTAAGTCAGTCCATTACTGGAAAGGTACTTCCTGACTTCAGGGACAAAGCATTGATGGAACCAATCCAGAAAAAGGGTTATCTGTGTCCAGGCCTTCTTGTTGAGCAACCAAAGACTGGCAGCTGGTGTTTAATCTTTTGCCTTCAAGGATCGAGGGTTAGCAGCTTTATAGATAAGGACAGTCCCAATCATAAACCCCCTGCGTTTGCTCAGAATAGTAGAGCTAGCCTATCGCTTCCTTTCTTGAATTCTGGTGTTCACTTCTCTTCCTTACTAATAAATGTCCTTTGTGGCATTTTTTTCCCCAGAATAGGGCACTTTCATCTGCATTAACATTAAAAAGCTGTTCAGGCAGCTATCCTTTCTCCTTAATGATTTCCTTAATGGCATCTGAGAACTCATCTGCTGCCTCCTATTAACTTGACTTCTTTAAGCAAAACTTTCTAAAATTATCAAACTATCCTTTGCTGGCAATATATAATCCAGCTTTAGATCATTCACCTTCCTGTTGCTTTAAGTTGTCATATATTGAATATGTTTTTTCTCAAATCATGTTAAGAGTCTACAGATATGCTTTTCCTATAGAAATCCTGTACCCAGATAAAAGCTGAAATTTCAATAAAAAGGCATTTAACATAAAGTGCAAGGTTTTCATGCCTCCTGGCATAGCTGCAGCACTGCCTTCATGAATTTCCTTTTTTTTTCCCCAGTGCTTAAGCTGGATTCATTTACCTTGAAATGGTGGACAACCACAGCTGGAGACCTCAATCTACAGACAAGAGTACATCAAGCATTTTAACTTCTTGTAATGTCATGACTTCTCTCTGCTTGTTAGGAGCACTTCCAACATCACTAGTGGCACTTCATATGGGTCTCATGGTGTTATTCAGGGTATACAGTATTACACTAAACACGATTAAAAAATGCAAGAACCTCAGTTCAGTTCAGTCATTCAGTCACGTCCGACTTGCTGTGACCCCATGGACTGCAGCACCCCAGGCTTCCCTGTCCATTACCAACTCCCAGAGCTTACTCAAACTTACGTCCTTCGAGTCAGTGATAGCATCCAATGATTTTACCCTCTGTCATCCCCTTCTCCTCCTGCCTTCAATCTTTCCCGGCATCATGGTCTTTTCCAAGGAGTCAGTTCTTTGCATCAGGTAGCCAAAGTATTGGAGTTTCAGCTTCAGCATCAGCCCTTTCAATGAATATTCAAGACTGATTTCCTTTAGGATTGACTGATTTAATCTCCTTGCAGTCCAAGGGACTCTCAAGAGTCCTCTACAACACCCCAATTCAAAAGAATCAGTTCTTCAGCGCTCAGCTTTCCTTATAGTCCAACTCTCACATCTATACACGACTACTGGAAAAATCATAGCTTTGACTAGATGGACCTTTGTCGGCAAAGTAATGTCTCTGCTTATTAATATGCTGTCTAGGTTGGTCAGAGCTTTTCTTCCAAGGAACAAGCATTTTTTAATTTCATGGCTGCAGTCACCATCTGCAGTGATTTTGGAGCCCAAGAAAATAAAGTCTGTCACTGTTTCCATTGTTTCCTCATCTATCTACCATGAAGTGATGGGACTGGAAGCCACAATCTTAGTTTTTTGAATGTTGAGTTTTAAGCCTGCATTTTCACTCCCCTCTTTCACTTTCATCAAGAGGCTCTTCAGTTCCTCTTCTCTTTCTGCCATAAGGGTGGTGTCATCTGCATATCTGAGATTATTGATATTTCTCCCAGCAATCTTGATTCCAGCTTGTGCTTCATCCAGCCCAACATTTCACATGATGTACTCTGCATATAAATTAAATAAGCAGGGTGACAGTATATAGCCTGGACGTACTCCTTTCCCGATTTTGAACCAGTCCATTGTTCCATGTCTAGTTCTCACTGTTGCTTCTTGACCTACACACAGATTTCTCAGGAGGCAGGTCAGGTGGTCTGGTATTCCCATCTCTTTCAGAATTTTCCACAGTTTATTGTGATCCACACAGTCAAAGGCTTTGGCATAGTCAATAAAGCAGAAGTAGATTTTTTTTTGGAACTCTCTTGCTTTTTTCTATTATCCAATGGATGTTGGCAATTTGATCTCTGGTTCCGCTGCATTTTCTAAATCCAGCTTGAATATCTGGAAGTTCATGGTTCACGTATTGTTGAAGCCTGGCTTGGAGAATTTTGAACATTACTTTACTAGCATGTGAGATGAGTGCAATCGTGCGGTAGTTTGAGCATTCTTTGACACTGCCTTTCTTTGGGGTTAGAATGGAAACTGACCTTTTCCAGTTTTGTGGCCACTGCTGAGTTTTCCAAATTCCCTGACATATTGAGTGCAGCACTTTCACAGCATCATCTTTTAGGATTTGAAACAGCTCAACTGGAATTCCATCACCTCCACTAGCTTTGTTCTTAGTGATGCTTCTTCCTAAGGCCCACTTGATTTCAGACTCCAGGATATCTGGCTCTAGGTAAGTTTTTACAGCATTACACTAAACATGATGAAAAACATGCAAGAACCTCAAGAGATCACATTTTACTGTGATATGCAAATTACTGAAGCAATGAACTACTTAGAGATGATTTCCATCACACAACATTTTGGGATACTCAACAACCTTGAGCTCAGTGCAATAGGAATAGAAGGTGGCTGTGAAATTATTACATTAGTACAGTATGTACTACAACCAATCTTATGCAGTTATAATTAAATACTGCATCTTCACATTTGTTTACATTTCTTTCTACTTAAAGCACCATGTACAGTCTATGTCTGTGGGTATAGGTTTTGATAAATTTTAACTTTTTACACTAGATTTGTGTATTAATTTTTATTAATCTTTTCCAGTTGTTCTAGGCTATGCAGTTGTCTGCAAGTTTTTTCAAATTGTTACAAATCTTCAAAAAATTTTCCAATATATTTATTGAAAAAAATTCACATATCACATATAAGTAGACCCATGTAGTTCAAACCCCTTGTTCAAGGGTCAATTGTATAGTATAAACATAACTTTTATATGCAATGGATAAACAAAAAAATTTGTATATTTGTTTTACTGTGATACTCACTTCACTGCAATATTCACTTACTGGGATGGTCTGGAACCAAATTTGAAATACCACAACGTATGCCCGTATTTTAAGTTAAGGAAAGCTAACAGGATTTGCTAACAGGAAAAGTATGGTATAGGATAAGAAATGTAAAGGATGACTACAAACTTGTTGGCTAAGTAACTGGTACAACAGAGTTGCCATTTATTGAGATGGGGGAGACTATAGAAAGACCAAGTCAGGTTGAGGGACAGATCAGGCATTTAGTATTAGACACATCATGTTTTAAATTCAGACATGTATACATCAAGTAGACATACAAGATGAATATCTAAGTCTGGAAATATTTGAATGTGGTCAGCATACAGATACTCATATTTAAAATCATAAGACTGGATGAAATCATCAAGAGGTTAAGTGTACCCCCTTGACAAGAGGTCCAAAAATTGAGCTATGGGATACTCACTGTTTAGACATTGAGAAGATAAGTAATCAGCAAAAGAGACTGAGAAGGAGTGGCTGGTAAGATCAGAAATAATCCTCTAGAGTGTGGTGTCCCGGAAGCTGAGTAAAGAAAAGTGTTTCAAGGAGAAAGGAGGGCTCAACTATGTCAAATGCTGCTAAAAGATCAAGATAATTGCGAAAAAAAAAAAAAAAAGGCTGATCATTCCATATGAGGTTAAGGAAAAACTATGTTGTTCAAGTAAAAACAAACATGACCACATCCATATTGAGTCACAACTATTTTTACCTTGGTCATTCCTGGCAAATCCACAAGTGTCAGATTGACAACATTGGGTGAAAAAATCTTAAGATGAATTGGTTCAGGGCTTACTCCCTAAAAATAAATTTTAAAATATTATATTAAAATCACATTAAAATGTCAATGAAATAAAAATGCTAAAGTAAAACCTCATTTCAAGTATTATACATTAGATGCTTTTAAATATTAAACCATAATCTCTAAAACATTTCAATAATCAAAACCTAATGAAACATATAGAAAACAAGGCAGCCTGCCATAGATTATAATCCTATCCAACCTTACACTATTAATATACATAATTTATTTCCTGTTATTTCACATTCTTTTCTCCTGATTCTCAGAGATAACATTTCTTAAGTATGTTTAATAGACTCAGTGCTGAACAAAAGAACAATGTATTACTATCCAAATTTATGAGGTTCTTGAATTCAGAGACATAGGTAACAAGTAATCCAAATCAGGGAACTATGGCAGCAGTAACTAAAAGGTAACCTACCCAGAGTTCAATAATAAATCTTAGTCAATCACTCAAACAGAGATAAGTATCTTGAATAGGCATAAAGAAATTAACATGGCTCCAAAAATGCCTTTGGGTCAGGAAAACCTTTCCAACACGGTCTCCAGCAGATAAAAGGACTCAATAAATATTTTTTTAATATTAGTACTCAGCTCAGGCCCAGTTGTGCAATTAAATGTACCCATTCAAGAATGGAGGTAACAACACAAAGGGAAGCGAACAGAAAGGTAGTAAGAATAAAGAAAGAAGAGAAAATAGAAGCATTTAAAGAAGGCAGTGACAGTACCTCATTTAAATGTGCCTCATTTACCATATAATGGTATCTGAGACATCTAATTTAAATTCTCAGAATCTCAGAAAACAATTCACTTGTTAACATTACTTTTCATTTTCACTGAAAAAAAAAAAAAACAACCTTGCTTTGCCTCTTTGTGCTTTCATAAGTAAATCTCGACTTACTCAGATAAGAAAAAGAGCTCTTCAAAATAAATCTATCTTGTAAGTTATATATTGCTTCTTGAGTTAGAGTACAACCAATCCAGCAGAAAAAAATAACACTGTAGAAAGTATTAAATTGAAAAGCTATATAATAAAGTGATATATACAAGATCAAGAATAAACATCTAAATGAAACACCTGTTTGTATATGAAAGCTCTAAGAAATAAAAGTGGTTTTATATGAAGTTTCTATATATTTGAGAAAATACACCATTAGTTTAAAAGACTAGTTTAAAAGACCAGAATGCTCTGACAGTTATACTTTCCAGCTCTAAAAAGATACCTACCTTATTATTTCCTGAAATCCTCTCTGTTTCATTTTCAATTTCTTGTCGAATTTCATCAAAATCTGTGTAAAGCTAAAAATTATTGAAACAAAAAAAAGTATTCAAAATAAGATTTTAAAAGTTCCTAAGAGGGCTTTGATAATATGGATCTGCTTCAGAGAATTAGTAAACAAATTCTAATATACACAAACATCATTCTGAGCCAAAGTCAGAGTTTATATGAGTTTTTCAAAGCTGCTTGAGCAACAGTTAAGAGTCTCCAAATTAAGAGAGAATAAGACTCAACTTAATGTTTTCCAAATAAACTACTATGGTTAGAAATGTTACTAAGATTTATTTTACATGATAACAGTGCTACATTGCCAATCATAAGAAAACTAAATTATCAGTTACCTGTACCAAAAGAAAAATATTTTCAACATGTTACTTCTTCAACATGTTCTTTTATAATTACCTTATTTTTGGTGTGAAGAAATTTACCCCATTCTTCTGCTTCAACCCCTAGAAAGAGAGAAACTTCACTTATTGAAAACTATGGAAATTACCTTAGGAATTCAAAAAGACAGTACAATATTATTTGTTCCTACTTTGCCACTAACTATAAGTTAACTTATACTTGAAATCTAGATTTTTAACTAATAAAACTGTTCACCTCTCCTCATATTATAATAAAATATGTATACTTTTTTTTTGGTATCTAAAACTTTTTATTTGAGCAAGTAGATATAAAGTGTATTTTTAAAAGACCTTAACCCATATATTAAATGACTCACTACAATTCTATAAAATGAATAACTCCTTCTAATTCATTATGTGTTCAGTTAAAACTGTTTCTTCCAAGAATCCTCCAAGAATTGGATTCCAAGAATCCAAGTATTTAGTATAATTCAGAGCAATGGCCAATTAAGTATTAGATTATATTTAACTGTTCATTTGCATCCAACCTGGGACCTTTCTTTTTTTCTTTCGAACTTTTTATTTTGTATTAGGGTACAGCCAATTAACAATGTTGTGATGTTTTCAGGTGAACAGAAAAGGGACTCAGCCATGCATATACTGTATACTTTATTTTTAAATATCTCACATATAAAAGCAATTTTATCTGATGAAAATACTCAAGCTAATGGCTAAAAGAATACTTATGAATCATACTGAATAACAATGCAAAAAGCATATACTATAGACTTACACACATAACTCAAGGTAAAAATTTGCAACATGTCAACAAAATAGTTAACTTTTTGTTCTGTTTTCTCATTTTTCATTTTAATTCAGTTTACTGTTGGCAACCCATAAAGTCACAATTTGCTGTTACTTTAAAGAGCTCTCAGTAGCATGAAGGTATTCTGTATGCATTTTCAAGGTGATTTTTTCCCCCTAAGAACAAGATTATGTTTTTCCTTGGAATTGAAGGTAGGAAAGAAATGAAATGGTAAGGGGTAAAAGGTTGGGGGAACCTGGCATGTATACTGTATGGAATTGCTACTCGCCAGTAGTTTCCAATAATAGGTCTGTTCCTCTTGTACTTGCTGAAAAAAGGAAAAAATTATTCATTGTAAGTACTGTTTTGAGTGGCCCAGGACATGGAGAGCAAGTTTTGCTCTAATTTTTCCAGACAAGCTAGAATGTAGAAAAATTAACTTTGCCTTCTCCAAGCACAACTATTCTGCTTTTGTCAAATTCACAGTTTTAAATGTCTTAATGATTAACACATATCAGCCACCTGATATCAAAATAAAAATGACTGTAAGATATTCAAATAAATATTTACAGAGGAAAAGGTGGAGCAGTTACTTTGGTGGATAAAGGTAACAAAACTGGATCTTTTTTGCAAGTAAAATGCTCACCTACTTGAAGCTTAGTACCTTCTTCCAAGAAGTCTCACTGGAGGATTGGAATAATCTAAGTGAACAGAACTCAGAGGCAAGTACTGTACACCAAAGGGTTTGTTTTTTTTTTAATTTACCTTATCATATAGAAGAGATCTGGCTTCACAAGCATGTTTTTTAAAAATAAAAATAAAATAAATTACATTCACCAAAAAAAGCCTGCATTGTGATGCAATGCCAAAAGGTAACAAGAACCACTAACACCTGCAATCAATCAATGTGGATAAGCAAATAAAAATGGAAGAAAAAAAAATGCACACAGCCTGTAAGAGTACAAAAGCACACATGCAGGCATAATGGGAAAAGAAGGGCCAAAAACAAATGGATAAAGGAAACCTTTAGAAAGGTGTCTTGAGTTTTTCCATGTAGCAGGGTCTGTAGTCAAAGAGAAATAGCACAGAGTGAGAAGTTTAGTGCTTATCCCTAATATTTCAAACCTTTCTAAAAAATCAAATGTGCAAGAACCTGAACACATTTCCAATGCACATTCCAAATGCATTCAGTTATTCCAAATTTACAATTGTAAATTTTCCATTACAATTAGTTATAATTAGAGGGATGTATATAATATTTTAAATGGCATAAATGAAGTATATTGAGAGTCATAATTTATTTTTATTTTCCATTACATTAATTTTATCACCTCTGGTTTCTAACTCTAATATAAGTGGATTGAAACTAATGTACTATTCAGAAATTTGCTATCTGATAACTACAGGAAAAGATAAACTACCTAATGAAAAAAATCTACAAAACATATCAAATGCATCTTGAAAGTAATAAAACCTTGAAAGTAAATATTAAAGTATTTACCCTAATTGCTAAGTCTGAACTTAATAGGGGTTTATTTTCTTTGAAATATATAATAAATTTAACAGAAATAGTTTTGGTATTCCGTCAGCATGCTACCTTTGTAAATAGTCTAAAAGGAGATCTGAGGACATACATGAAAAGTAATCATAAAGTTCAAAGTTCAAACTAAACCACTTGAAAACAGTTTTTGTTTTTAATAAGATTTTATCAGAAAATTCTTTTACATTGGCAGAAGTGGGGAGCAAGATGAGAAATACTATAAATCTATATATTGACACCTAAATTATATTATGTAGTTGGCAGAATGATCTCATGTTAAATAAATTTTCCTGATAATTAAATTATACATGGTAAATATTTTGTAAGAGTTTAGCCAGTTTTGAATGGACCTATCCATGTTATGTTAGAATCCACTGCCCTTAAACTTACCTACTAATGGTAACTTAGGTCTTTGTTACATAATAAAGCCATTTATGTATAGACTACAAATCCCTATACAAAATGGTTAGAGACTAATTTTTTTCTTTTTTGAAATTCTCCTGTTTTCCTCCCCTTTCTCCTCTATGGTTGCCAGGCTGCCAGGTAGTTCATACTTTTCTGGCTATCTCTTGCTTCATTGTTTCTAATTTCCTCTAGAATAGAGTGATTTGTGATAAGGTAGAATCATTTATCCTGAGGATAAACAGGCTCTAATGATAAGTTAAAGAACTATCCTAATTATTAATAAGATACATGATATTTAGTACTCAAAATTTACAAAATCTATTTTGTGTTCTGGGTGGCTGAGTTGTCATTTTAAGTATTATGTTTTTTAATATAAAAAATAAGCACTAAGCTTGGGGAAAAAATAATATATATGTATATATATATAGGTAAAGATATGCAGATTTACTGACCTACCACCACCAATGAGAGACGTCAACAAAACAAAGTGAACAATACAAACAGATAACAAGAACTGACACCTCTACAGTTGTGAAACGTACACCCTTTCTAGAAATACTGCCCACGTACTCTGAGAGAAAAGATATCATCTGCCCTTTCCAAAGTGACTGAAGAAAATTAAGAGTTAAAAGAAACAGACATCATCATACAGTTACTTGAAGTTTCAGTTTAAGGCATTTGGTAAATTTGATGATGTTAGCAAGACTGAAATATTTTAATAATTATTGTATACATTTGAAATTGGACCATAAATTAGCCCAAAATGATTAAATTCAAGGTTCAGAATTTCAATAATAAAGAAATATTACAGAAATGCAAAGTGATAACATACCAAGAAGCTACCTAATATAATCAAATGACTTTTACATATCCTCTGGCATCCTATCCAAAAATATTACTTGTAACTTGTGACATCTACAACTTCATTAATCTACTTCAGTGATTAACTTTCTGTAGTCCTTGTAGATGCTCATGACATGTCTTTTTAAAAATCCGTTTAAAATAAAAATCAATCTCTCACCACCCAGTAAGTGAAGGAAAAGATCAGATACAGAAATTAAAGTAACTTCATTGCATCAAACTAATGAAGCTGCTGGAAAAGGCAATGGCACCCCACTCCAGCACTCTTGCCTGGAAATTCCCATGGACAGAGGGGACTGGTAGGCCACAGTCCATGGGGTCGCAAAGAGTCGGACACAACTGAGCGACTTCACTTTCACGCACTGGAGAAGGAAATGGCAACCTACTCCAGTATTCTTGCCTGGAGAATCCCAGGGACAGAGGAGCCTGGTGGGCTGCTGTCTATGGGGTCGCACAGAGTCAGACATGACTGAAGCAATTCAGCAGCAGCAGCAGCAGCAATGAAACTGCATTTAAAACAGATCTCTCGCAGAATGAGAAACAACCATGGTACTCTGCTGCAAATGTAATTTAACAACTAGAACATTTTACAGACTTTTATAAGTAAGACAGATGGCTTCCCTGATGGGTCAGATGGTAAAAGAAGCTGCCCGCAATATGGGAGACCAGGGTTCGATCCCTGGGTTGGAAAAATTCCCTGAAGAGAATGGCAACCCACTTCAGTATTCTTGCCTGGAGAATCCCACAGACAGAGGAGCCTGGTGGGCTACAGGTTATAGGGTCACAAAGAGCTGGACATGACTGAGCAACTAACATACAAATAAGACAGAGTCTGAGCCAAACACACTGAAGATCAAATATATTACTCTCATCAAACATTCCAAACTTCTCTAATGTAAAGGTACAGTATGTAATAGGTCACACATTTAATAAGCAAACTTAAATATGTTGATAAAGAGAGCATTTCTTAAAATATTTTCAGTGTAACTAAAGAAGAAAGGATGGTGCATGTTTTCTAATCCTGATACTCCACGTTTACTATTTGGGTGAGGGAGGAATCTAAAGAATCAAAGTAATACATACAATAAGTAGGTCTTAGCAAAATAAGCACAGTAAAAATAATAATAATAATAATTACGGACTTTCCTGGCAGTCCAGTGGTTAAAAAGACTCCGTGCTTCCACTGCAGAGGACTATGCAAAATAAGCATAGTAAAAATAATAATAATAATTAGGGACTTTCCTGGCAGTCCAGTGGTTAAAAAGACTCCATGATTCCACTGCAGGGGACTCCATGCTTCCACTGCAATAGGTAAGTCTTAGCAAAATAAGCTTAGTAAAAATAATAATAATAATTAGGGACTTTCCTGGCAGTCCAATGGTTAAAAAGAATCCATGCTTCCACTGCAGGGATCCACTGGATCCCTGGTCAGGGAACTAAATAAGATTGCACATGCTGTGCAGTGTGGCAAAAGTATCTCTTTTAAAAAACTCTTTCTACAAATAATATTTATCTTGGATCGAAGGGCCAAAGATTCAAAATTCACAGGCACATGGCAAGACAGAAAAGTGAAGGTGAGATAACACTGTTATGCTGAAAAGCTGAATCATTTTAATTTTATTTAAAATAAAATATTTAAACTAGAATATAAAATATTTAAATTCTAAAACAAAGTGAAAAAGAAACATTGCTTTAAACACTAGGAAAAGTTTAAAACATTCCCAAAGACACAAAAACTTTTAAAAATAATTGATTCTTGTTTACTAAGTATCTCACTAGATCCTCCACTAAATAGTGTTAACAAGTTTACTGAACTACATTACCAAAAAGATTCTTTCAAAAAAGAAAAAACAGTCCTCAAAAACAAAAAAAAAAATTACTCCCTTTTCCCATGAGAAAAGATGTATATCACTTTCTTTACAGGACTTCTGACTTCGCTACAGCCACTAATTTCTGTCTAATATGTAACTAAGATATAACTCATATCTTCTTAAGATTGACCAAAAATGAAGAATTTTTAAATAATTTTTATTCCAATTCTAAAATTTACCATTTTCTTCTCCTGTTGTTTTTCGTTTATCTTCAGGTGAAACATGGACTAGCTGCAGAATGAGAGGTCTCCGGGTGACAATACCAGTGCCTCTGGGAAGCAGGTCCCTCCCCACTAGGCTTTCTAGCACTGAGCTCTTTCCACTGCTCTGAAAATGGAATACACAAAAGCAAAATGAGTTTCTTAACAGATTTTTTGCAACTCAGTAAGACTATACTATATAATTTAAAAAATTATTGCAAGGTCTTTTAAAATGAAATAAAATTAGTTGTATTTTCGATTATACGATCTTTATTTCTTTAAAATAAAAAAGTACAAAAAGAATATCAATGCTAGTACAAAATAAAATCTGTAATTCAAAAAAAGGGAATATAAAAGTCCCACTTGCCCATAATTTTCCCACCTCTCCTGATACTCTCCCGACCATATAATATTGGTGTATGTGTGTGTGTGTCTGTGTGTGTGTGTGTATAAGGTATTTTCAAAACCCATATAATATTGGTATACATAAATTATGCCCGTAACATGTAGATATTTTACTCTAAATGAGGTAGTATTATGTGTATTTTTCTCTAACTCACTGTTATTTTTATTGTAACAATCAGGGATATCATTCAATATCAATATATTAATTTCTTTAATAGTTAAATAGTATTCTGCATGTAAAACCAAACCCTAACTGATGGACATATAAATGGGCCTTGCTACAATGTTGCAATGAACATGATTTGTACAGACAACCATACTCACTTATTTATTCTTTCATTAGACTTATTTAGTTCATTAAGTGAAACTGCTGTGATTAAAGAACATACAGATTTTATACTTTCACAGATACTGCCAGACTACACACTACAAGATAGGAGGCACCACGCTGTACTTCATATTCAATATGCTACATCCACATCAGCACTGGGCATTACCACTTTTTTGAATCTTAAATACTTTTTTTGGATAAACACTGACAGTTCACTTATATTTCCATTCCTTTATTCCGTCAAGTATCACTTTGTTTAAGGACCTTTTGCATATCTCCTTTGGTGATCTGCTTGTTCAAATGCTGGTATATTATGTTTCTCATTAGTTTAAAGATCTTTATCCATTTAAGTATTTATCTTTTATCATGCTGAATACTTTCCCTTAACTTTTTATTTTGAAAATTTCAAAGCCACAAGAGTTGCAAGAATAGTAAGTGAATACCCATATAGCTTAACAAAGGTACCCTATATCTTAACCAATTATTAACATTCTGACATATTTGCTTTATGTCTCTTACACATGCACATACTTTTTTCTTTTGCTGTCTCTTTTGTGTTAGTTAATATGTCATGACATTTCACCCCTAAATATTGTGGCATAGCTCTAAGAAAACAGCATTCTTCTATATAATCACACTACAATGATCTCACTGAGGAAATTTAACAGACACAATACTAATGAACAGTAAATTATCAAATATATATAAACCCATTGTCCCTATTATACATTTTTATATAATACATAAATTTGAAAAATTTGCTATTTTTTCAAGTTGATAATTCATGTTTTTCTGTAACAGTATTTTTTCTGTACTGTATTTCTTCTTAATCAAAACCAGTACATCTTCTAATTTCTTACTTTCTACAAAGGCAAAAACCCTAAGCTCATCTACTGTATCAGAAAGGGTTTTCAGGAAACAGATGGCCCACTCAAGTTAGATTAATTTAAGGACAATTTATTTACAAGCAGACTATTTACAAAGTTTTGGATGAGGGGGATCACAAAAGATAGTGGAATAACCCAGGCTAGTAACAACACAGCAGCTCCTATCACCCACAAGCTCCAAGAGAAGGATGAGGATTTTCAGGGAGAACCAGCACCTACACATAGGAAGTCAAGTCAGGGGAGAATATACCCAGACTTTAGTCCCCAAGGCCCATCGAGGCTCCCCATTTCCATATCCAATCAGAAGGCAGAAAACGTTAAGGGCCCATTCCTGTTGTCCAGAAAGGTCCCCTATGATGGAGAACAGTAATGTTGAGTGTATGAAGTGGGTCAAATTTAAAACTTGATGGTTTTCGATGGCTAAGTCAAAAATTTCTCTTGGTAAATGTCACTCTGCACTTGAAAATAGGTGTTATTTTCAAATATCTTTTGATATTGATTTCTAACATAATTCCACAATGATAAGGGAATAGACTGTATGATTTCAATACCTTTGTTGTTTAGTTACTAAGTCATTTCTGACTCTGTGACCCCATGGGCTGCAGCACACCAGGCTTCCCTGTCCTTCACTATCTCTATTCAATACCTTTAGACCACAAAATTTTTGAACCTTGTTTTACGTTCCTGGATATGTTTCAGTGTCTCCTAGTTTACAGCCTATGGGAACTTGAATAGGAATTTGCGTTGTGTCAAAACTGTATAAATCTTTATTATGTTGAATTGGTTCACCATGATTTTCAGGTCTACTATATGCTTCTACTTCTCTGTATATTCATTCTATAAATTTTTGAGTTTGACATTGAAACGCCAACTAAAAATCTTAATGTAGCTACTTAAACTGTTCACTTCTAATTCTTTACCTTTATGTTCTTTTTTCTGACCAAATTTCCCAATTGACTATGACATTGATTTTTGCATCAAATCTGTATTTTATTGATTTCACTTTGTAATTATTTATTATTTATTTTTTAATACTGTTAATTTCTTCCTATCAGTGTGCGCAAAACGCCTCCCAGTTTCAGCTGGTATTCTTAAATCATCCTCCAGACTTTCCAGAGATCGGCTATTTTTCGATTCTCACATACATCTGAAATTCCATGGCTTCTTTCTTCTTAAGTAGATATTAATACACAGGTATTGAAGCTCTTGGTGGTCTATTCCCAAACCACTGCTACGTGAGGGTTTGTAGGGAGAAACAAGGTCAACTAATTTTCTCGTCAATGTTCATGGATCTGGGGTTTTCCTATACGTTCTGTTTTTATGGGAAAGTCATACAGGATTAAGAAACTATTCTACCATTGCTGTCATCCTCCCAAAATCCCCAAATACAAAAAATTGGTTATGTCTATATGGGAAAAATGAACATTCATCTGGGTAGTTAATATTTTATTTCTTTAACTGGGAGGTAGACACAATGCTGTCCTAATGTTCTTTGTATCTTTTTGATGTTTTCAGTATTTCAAAACAATTTTTTAATCCTCCAAATGTGGCACATGATTTTATACTGATGAGGAAATTAAAGAACTTACATTTCCACCTCCCTCCCATACCTAAGCAGATATTTGGTAAAGCCACACACAGCTTGGATACAGGTTACAGACTGGTCCCTTTGTCCACTCTGTCCTTCTGTGCAAGTGATTTATACTAGCTTAAGTGCCCAGCTCTGCTACAAAGTTCAAAGTATTAGTCAAGCAATAACAGATATCTGGAAGCAATTCAGGTAACATTCCAATTTTATTTCACAATATCATAGGTGTGGGAAATAAAAGAATTTTTGAAATTTTTTCTGTTCTTATTGTCCAGTTATTTATGCTTCAGTGCATTCGATGAATAGTTATAGTACAAATGGATACAGAATTTTATAATCACAATTAATTCCCCCAGGAACTCTAAATTTTAAACACTTCTCCATGTCATCTAATATTTACTGATGCAGACTGAAAGTATGGTGCCAATCTGAGTCTCTTTCCCTTTCAGGAACCTTTTTTTCCTCCTTCCTTCTATTTTGACACTTGGGAGCATTCTGAGGTTTTGTAAAAGTTTAGATTTCAGAAATTTACCCAGGTTATGTCAATCCTTTCAATATTTGTGCCCAGCAACTGAAATATGAAGATGTGGGAAACTCTGGCTTACTATTTGACTATTCTTTGTCCCTCTGCTCCAAGTGTTCTTTCTCAATTAACTATGGCAAGGATTTTGGCTCTCTTAGCTCTCACCAACAAGTCTCTTATCTCTAATTTCATAACATATAATTCTGATTTCTCTTTTAATAGAATTTCTAAAGTTATTTTTCTATTTTATAAATTAGGTTCTCAACAATATCAATTGACTATTGTTCCCCATCACCCACTATGCCATTTTATTCTTCCTTCTTAAATGTCACAAAAAATACTTCTTAAATGCCTCTCCTAAATTCTATCTCAACCTCAATTTGTTACTCTGATTATCTACCTTAGTTTCCTCCTTTGCAGCTACTGCTTTTCAATGTTTAAATCTACCAAATTAAAAAAAAAACTACCAAATTTTAAACACTGGCAACTCTTTTTCTTTTTTTTCAGTTTAGTTCAGTTTCTCAGTCATGTCCAACTCTTTGCGACCCCATGGACTGCCGCATGCCAGGTCTCCCTGTCCATCACCAACTCCTGGAGCTTACTCAAACTCATGTCCATTGAGTCAGTGATGCCATCCAACCATCCCATCCTCCATTGTCCCCTTCTCCTCCTGACTTCGAAATTTTTCCCAGCATCAGGGTCTTTTCAAATGAGTCAGTTCTTCACATCAGGTGACCAAAGGATTGGAGCTTCAGCATCAGTCCTTCCAATGAATATTCAGGACTGATTTCCATTAGAATGGACTGGTTGGATCTCCTTGCAGTCCAAGGGACTCTCAAGAGTATTCTCCAACACCACACTTCAAAAGCATCAATTCTTCGGTGCTCAGCTTTCTTCACAGTCCAAATCTCACATCCATACATGACCACTGGAAAAGCCATAGCTTTGACAAGATGGGCCTTTGTTGGCAAAGTAATGCCTCTGCTTTTTAATATGCTGTCTAGGTTGGTCATAACTTTCCTTCCAAAGAGCAAGCATCTTTTAATTTCATGGCTGCAATCACCATCTGCAGTGATTTTGGAGCCCCCCAAAATAAAGTCTGTCACTGTTTCCACTGTTTCCCCATTTATTTGCCATGAAGTGATGGGACCAGATGCCATGATCTTAGTTTTCTGAATGTTCATTTTAAGCCAACTTTTTCACTCTCCTCTTCCACTTTCATTGAGAGGCTCTTTAGTTCTTCTTCACTTTCTGTATGTGGTATATATCAATTCAAGACAGCAACATGGAAGGATCCTGAACTCACCTCCTATCATGAGCACACTGAATTTACAGCCACAGATAGAACAATTCCCTCGGAAAGAAACTAAAAAATTGGATGAGCAACTCCTAC